CAGGGCAGCAGGGAGAGATGTGGAGAGGGTTTTGGGATAGGGCTGAGGAGGTTTGGGATGAGGCCGAGGAGGTTTTGGGATGAGGCTGGAGAAGGTTTTGGGATGAGGCTGGAGGAGGTTTGGGATAGGGCTGAGGAGGTTTGGGATGGAGCTGAGGATGTTTTTGGGCTGGGGCTGAGGAGGTTTTGGAATAGGGCTGGAGGTTTTGGGATGAGGCTGAGGAGGTTTGGCATGAGGCTGAGGAGGTTTTAGGATGAGGCTGGGGAAGGTTTGGGCTGGAGCTGAGGAGGTTTGGGATGAGGTTGGAGAGGGTTTTGGGATGAGGGAAACTGGATTTTGGGGATCTGGCTGCTCAACCAGGAGATGAGAGCATGGAGGGCAAGGGTGGGACTCACTGCAGGTTCCCTAAATGAGGCAGGGGATGCCAAGTGTCAGGGCAGCAGGGAGAGATGTGGAGAGGGTTTTGGGATAGGGCTGAGGAGGTTTGGGATGAGGCCGAGGAGGTTTTGGGATGAGGCTGGAGAAGGTTTTGGGATGAGGCTGAGGAGGTTTGTGGGATGAGGCTGGAGGAAGTTTTGGGATGAGGCTGAGGAGTTTTTGGGATGAGGCTGAGGAGGTTTGGGGTGGGGCTGAGGAGGTTTTGGGCTGGAGCTGAGGATGTTTGGGCTACAGCTGAGGATGTTTGGGCTGCAGCTGAGGAGGTTTGGGCTGGAGCTGAGGAGGTTTGGGATGGAGCTGAGGAGGTTTTGGGCTGGAGCTGAGGATGTTTGGGCTGGGGCTGAGGAGGTTTTGGGCTGGAGCTGAGGAGGTTTGGGCTGCAGCTGCTGGAGAAGGTTTTGGGATGAGGCTGGAGGAGGTTTGGGATAGGGCTGAGGAGGTTTGGGATGAGGCTGAGGAGGTTTGGGGTGGGGCTGAGGAGGGCCCGTCAGGAACAGAGCACTGGGAGTCCCACGGGATTCTGGGAGCCATCATGGGAAACTGGATTTTGGGGATCTGGCTGCTCAACCAGGAGATGAGAGCATGGAGGGCAAGGGTGGGACTCACTGCAGGTTCCCTAAATGAGGCAGGGGATGCCAAGTGTCAGGGCAGCAGGGAGAGATGTGGAGAGGGTTTTGGGATAGGGCTGAGGAGGTTTGGGATGAGGCCGAGGAGGTTTTGGGATGAGGCTGGAGAAGGTTTTGGGATGAGGCTGAGGAGGTTTGTGGGATGAGGCTGGAGGAAGTTTTGGGATGAGGCTGAGGAGTTTTTGGGATGAGGCTGAGGAGGTTTGGGGTGGGGCTGAGGAGGTTTTGGGATGAGCCTGAAGGAGGTTTGGGCTGGAGCTGAGGAGGTTTGGGATGGAGCCGAGGAGGTTTGGGATGAGGCTGAGAAGGTTTTGGAATGAGGCTGAGAAGGTTTTTGGGATAGGGCTGGAGGTTTTGGGCTGGGGCTGAGGTGGTTTGCGATAGAGCTGAGGAGGTTTGGGCTGGAGCTGAGGAGGTTTGGGCTGGAGCTGAGGAGGTTTTTGGGATGGAGCCGAGGAGTTTTGGGCTGCAGCTGTTCTGTGCCCCCAGACATCTACGTGTGCATGATCTCCTCCGCTCACAACGTGGCGGCGCAGGGCAAGTACATCGCCATCGCCAGCACCACCGTGGAGACCGCCGAGCCCGAGAAGGAGATCAAGCCAGCCCTGGACCTCCTGGAGCCCATCGAGCAGAAGTGAGTCCCCAGCAGCCCTGTCCCTCTCTGCTGGGACACCGGAGGCTGCTCAGGCTGAGCTTGCTCAGCACCTCGAGCGCTGCCCTGCGTGGAACCTCCTCTGAACCCAAAGCAAACCGAGGCTCTTTGTCCCCTGTCCAGGTTTGTGAGCATCAGTGACCTGTTTGCACCGACCGACCCGGGCACCGAGAGCCAGGTGAGTGAGTGAGGGCCGGGCTGGGCTGGGCTGGAGGGGACAGGCTCAGCTCGGGGCTCCAACGCTGCTTCTGCTCCCAGATCTTCATCTCGCGCACCTACGACGCCACCACCCACTTCGAGACGACGTGCGACGACATCAAGGATATTTACAAGAGGATGATGGGATCAGAGTTCGACTTCGAGGAGATGAAACGCAAGAAGAACGACATCTACGGGGAGGAGGAGCAGCAGTAATGAGAGTCTCTAATTAGGAGAAGTTTAAATCGGCTAATATGAATATATAAGGAACTTAATGAACACTGTACGAAATTCAATATTGTAAGGCCTGCTTTTGTAATCCCATCTCTGAGAGATTGAAGAGTACTGCACTGGTAATGTTCCCTTTTTGGATATCATGTGTTAATTATTTCATTCTAGTAGGGCTGCTGTCCAGAATCTGGCAAATTCCTGACTGATATTCCTGACTAACCTCGTAAGCGAAAGGCAGACTGAACTTACTGTAATTATTATTATTATTATTTTTGCAGACGTAGACGTGGGTGCAGATTTGAAATAACTCATTGACAGCTGTGTCTTACCTTGTCTTTTTAATCATTTGTAAAACATCCTTCACAATCCTGTGCTTCTGGTGAGCTCGTAGATGTGACGCTGATGTCACTCAAACCTGATACAAGGAAAATAGAAACTGAGCACTCCATTATTGTGGACAGCATCCCTAAAAGTCTCTCCCATCAATCTTAACTCTGTGGCAAAGTTGTATCATGGACAAAGCCCACACCTATTGTAGCAGCAAATGTTGGCTTCGTTCTGGGCACAGAACTTAACCTCCACTTAAGCTTCTAAACCCGTTTACATCGGTTGGGACACAGCTGTGCCTCAGGCTCCTTTGTGTTTTAATCTTAATAAAATTGAGAGAACAAATTACAGAGCAGGCAAGATGTGGAAGTATTTTCTGTCCCTGGTGGCCTCTCGGATGGACCAAACGGCGCTGCGGTATCGGCATGACAGAGCCTGTGCTTCTCGTGTCTCCTGAAGGCTCCAAATGATTTCTGTACTGCGAAGTAAAGCCAAAATTCTGGAAACCACTCCTGGCCTCTGGTCTGATTCACTTCAGTTCCGGGAGCAGCAGCTCCAGGCTGAGCTCCTGCAGCACCTCTGCATTTCCTGTCTCCGTGGCTCTTTCCAGGCTGTGCTGCTCCGGCTGCGTTCGGCAGGGCGGGGGTGGCTCAGGCTGTGCTCTGGCACAGCCCCCGTTCCTGCAGCCACCCGGGGCCACAGCTGGAAACAGCAGCAGGAAATAATTCCTGTTTGGGCTGCTCTCCATCCTCCATCCAGAGATCCTTCCCCATCCCTGGCTGGCACAGCTGTGCCAAGTGCCAGGAGAACTGAGGGAAAGCCTCGGAGCAGCTCTCCCGGCTCCTCAGTGGCACGGGCTTCCCCTGGCACCGTTCCCACAGGAACCAGGGTTTGATCCTGTGGCAATCCCAAAGCTGAGCTGAGCCCGCCTGGGGCTCCCCCTCCTTCCTCCCAGCCGGGGCTTCTGGCACTTCCTCCTCCCGAGCTGCCACTTCCAGGAGCCCTTCCCGCCCTCAGCTGCCGGGAGTGGGGCTGGGGGGCTCCCTCTGTGCCATGCCCACAGGCCAGCTGGAAAAGAAATCCTCAAATGATCCCACGATCCCTTCCTGCTGTATCCTGCTCATCCCCCTGCTTATTCCATCCTAGCCGAACCTCCTGCAACCTGCTCACTCCTCTGGTTATTCCATCCCATCCCTACCTCCTGTAACCCATTCATCCCCCTGGTTATTCCATCCTATCCCTATCCCTTCCTGCTGTAACCCGCTCATCCCTCTGCTTATTCCATCCTATCCCTATCCCTTCCTGCTGTAACCCGCTCATCCCTCTGCTTATTCCATCCTATCCCTATCCCTTCCTGCTGCAACCCGCTCATCCCTCTGCTTATTCCATCTTATCCCTATCCCTTCCTGCTGTATCTTGCTCGTTCCTCTGGTTATTCCATCCCATCCCTACCTGCAGTACCCTGCTCACTCCTCTGGTTATTCCATCCTATCCCTATCCCTATCCCTATCCCTATCCCTATCCCTATCCCTATCCCTATCCCTATCCCTATCCCTACCTGCTGTAACCCGCTCATCCCTCTGGTTATTCCATCCTCTCCCTCTCCCTCTCCCTCTCCCTACCTGCTGTAACCCACTCATCCCTCTGGTCATTCCATCCTTCCTGCAGGGAAGCACAACGGGATCCATCATCCCTCAGCCCACCACGGTCTTGCTCACTCCTTGCTGCTTCCCAGCCTCTGCCCCAGCTGGAAAATCCCTGCCCCCCCTTTCCCTGCTGGAAAGGGCTGGATGCTGAGCGGGATCCCCTCTCCAGAAAGCAGAGCTGTGCCGAACTTCGTTATTTTGGAGGTTTTATTAATCAAACTCTTTTTGTACAAAGTCATCCTGTACAGAACGGCCTCGCAGTCTTGGGTTTAAAAAGGAACTGAAAGGACTCCCCAGCCCCGCGGAGCCGGGACCCCATAAATAAAAGCTTATTTTGTTCCTGCTCTTCCCAGGGATTCCACGGGGCCCAGCAGGGAACCAGGAGCTGAAATGTAGTGTGGGCCTGAACAGCAACGGCCACGTGGAAAAGGGATTTGTTCTCCTTCCTGATCTTTAGGTAGACTTTGGGAAATCCTTTTGCCTGCTCCAACGGCAGCTGCACGAAAAGACTTGGAACCACTCCAATAATTTACCTGTACCGTTTAAAAAAACCTTTCCTATGTGAGGCTGGACGGCAGGGAATGAATCCCCTGAGGATCTGCATTTCCCACCTTTAAATAAGATTTATGCACAGAGCTGAAAACGACTTTCCTCTGCCCCCAGCAGTGGCTGGGATCCACTGGGATGGGTGGTGGGGATCTGCTGGGAGTGGTAGGATTGGGATGGATGGTGGGGATCCAGCGGGATCATTGGGATCCACTGGGATGGGTGGTGGGGATCTGCTGGGAGTGGTAGGATTGGGATGGATGGTGGGGATCCAGTGGGATCATTGGGATCCACTGGGATGGATGGTGGGGATCTGCTGGGAGTGGTAGGATTGGGATGGCTGGGATCCACTGGGATGGTTGGTGGGGATCCATTGGGATGGCTGGGATCCATTGGGATGGCTGGGATCCACTGGGATGGATGGTGGGGATGTCCCCCACAGGGCTGGGGTGCCCAGACTGGTGCCACAGGGCCTGGGGAGGAGCCGTGTCCTGGTGCCTTCACTTTGTCACCTGCAACACAGAGAGGTGGCCCAGGTGAGTGCCCGGCCCCTCCGGGCAGTGCCAGCCTCCTGCAGAGCCTCCCCAGGGCCAGGCCTGGAGTTTTCCCCACTTCCCAGCAGTGCCAGGCGTGGCTGTCCTGGATCCAGCTGCAGGAATCACAGATCCCACATCCAGCACTCTGGGGTGGTCCCTGCTCTGCTGTGGGACCCCAGCTCCCTGCTGGCCACCCCACAGACAGCCCTGAGCTGTTCCCGGGTTTTTGGGATCCATCCCAAGCTTTCCCCTCTCACCAGTAGCTCCTTCTGAAGGGAGCAGCCATCTTCTGCACCGTCCCCAGGAAGGTGTTGATGTCAGCCACAAGAATCCCTTTGCTCTCCAGGATCTCCCTGCAGCTGCTGCTGGCATTTTCTGCAAGGGGAGGAGCAGCAGCTCCGTTAATTCCAGCTAAGGAGGCTGTTCCTAAACCCTAAATATCCCTAAACCCCACCCTGGTTGCTCTGGTGCTTTGCCAACAGCCCCATCCACCCCCAGGCTCCAAAAACCGCTGGAATTCATCAACCTCCAAAAACCCAAAATTCCCTTTCCCCGCTCACGCCTGACCCGCACCTCGAAGCAGTGATTCCCACAGGAAAAAAGGGATTTTCCATCCCTCCCCAGCCCTTCCCAGGCAGCTCAGAGCTGCAGGGCTGGGATCCCTACCTGTGAGGTACACGGCGAACCTGGCACGGGCGTGCAGCCCCTGCAGCTGCAGCAGGCACTGCGCGCGCCGCGGCTCGGCCGCACCGTCGCAGCCGTGCAGGGGCAGCAGCTCCAGCAGCTCAGCCCCCTGGCACCACCGCAGCAGCAGCTGCTTCTTCTGGGCGCTGCCGTCGTCCCTGCTGGCAGAGAGGCAGGCTCAGGGCTCCATCCCACCCCAGCAATGAGCAGGGAGGGGGGGGTTGCCTCTCCAGGTGGTTTTTGCAGCCCCACGGGTGATTTTTGGATCCAAAGTGGAAATCCCCCCTCGCTCCAGGGCTGCCTGTGCTGGTTTTGGTTCATTTTTGTCTCAGGGGCTGCTTTTGGGGTTGGTGCTGGGAGCTGTGGGGAGGTCAGGGAGGTTTTGGTGTTGCTGGAAAAGCCAAGGCTGCTCCTCACACCCCACAGGGCCAGGGGGACACGAGGCCAGGACAGGAGAGTGCCACTGTCCCAGGGGATGTTCCAGAGCCTGGAACCAGGCTCAGGATACAAAGCTGGCAGGAGAAGGAAGAGGGGTTGGGAGAGGTGGTGATGATGGAGCCTGGTGTTCCTGGGGATGGCCTGGGATGGGAAAGGGGATGAATTCCTTGTTTTCCCAGCTTTTCCCTTCCTTTATCCCAGCCCAGGAGTTTTCTCACTTCACTCATCCACGGATGAACCCAAGCCAGAGCAGCTCCATCTTCAACCATTCCTGGTGGGAACTGGAGTGCAATTCCTTCTCTGCACCCCCAGCCCTCCCCAAACCCCAGATGTGGAGGGGCAGGAATGGGAGCAGAGCCCCAGGAAGGTGCCCTGAGCTCCTGGGGGTGTGCCAGGAGCTGGGAAGGGAGGGAAGTTTGCTTTGGGAGTTCTGGGAATGTGCAGCTCCTCGAGGGAAATCTGTGCCCCTCCAGGAGCCTGCAAGACTCCCTGAGGGCACCTCTGCCAAGGAGCCAGGGAAGAGCCTCATGGATCAGCAGGGAGCAAGGAGAGCTGCCAGAGCCCTGCCTCACCCAGGACCACATCCAGGACAACATTCCAGGCCACCTGATGCTCCCAGGTCCCAAGCCCTGCTGCTCCATCCCAGAAATGCCCAATTTGCCAGGCAGAGCCGTTACCTGAGGTCTCCTCTGAGCTTCCTGCTCTCCCTGTGGTGCAGCAGCCACTTCCACCTCCCGCTGCTGTTCAGCCTCTCCAGCACCTTCACCACCTCCTTCAGCTGGCCTGAGGGGACACCGGAGCTCAGGGGGTGCCAGGGGCCACCCGGGGGGCTCAGGGCCCAGCCCTGCCCCAGTGGGGCCACCCGGGGGGCTCAGGGCTCTCTCCAGGGCAGCTCTGGGTCTGTGCAAGGAAGGAGACTCCAGCTGCACAGGATGGGGACCGGGATCGTGTCCTGGTGTCACTTTTTCCCTGATATTGAAAGGACACGTGCAGCCTGTCCCTGTCACCTCACTGAGCAGGAGAGGGGGCTCTGCTCTCTCTGCCACTTCCCACTAAGGAGCTGCAGGCAGCAGCAAGTTCTCCTTTTTCCACAGATTCTGGGAAGGAATTCCTGGCTGGGAGGGAGGGGAGGAATTGCCAGAGCAGCTGGGGCTGCCCCTGCATCCCTGGAAATGTCCAAGGCTAGGCTGGGCACTGCACCTTCATCACCTCCGTCAGCTGGCCTGAGGGGACACCGGAGCTCAGGGGGTGCCAGGGGCCACCGGGGGGCTCAGGGCCCAGCCCTGCCCCAGTGGGGCCACCCGGGGGGCTCAGGGCTCTCTCCAGGGCAGCTCTGGGTCTGTGCAAGGAAGGAGACTCCAGCTGCACAGGACGGGGACTGGGATCGTGTCCTGGTGTCACTTTTCCCTGATATTGAAAGGACATGTGCAGCCTGTCCCTGTCACCTCACTGAGCAGGAGAGGGGGCTCTGCTCTCTCTGCCACTTCCCACTAAGGAGCTGCAGGCAGCAGCAAGTTCTCCTTTTGCCACAGATTCTGGGAAGGAATTCCTGGCTGGGAGGGAGGGGAGGAATTGCCAGAGCAGCTGGGGCTGCCCCTGCATCCCTGGAAATGTCCAAGGCTAGGCTGGGCACTGGGGCTGGAGCAGCCTGGGGCACTGGGAGGTGTCCCTGCCATGGACCTGGATAATCCTTAAGGTCTCTTCCAACCTAAACCATCCCATGAACGTCCAGGCCAAACATCCTGGGCCAACCCTGCCCTGTCCTGGGAGGTTTGGGGACCCTGAGCTGGGCACTCCACCCCGATGGCACCCGAATGTCAGAGAGGGCAAGAACTCCCCCTGGGAACAGAAGCAAGCTCTGATGTGGCAGCGACACTCACCCAGGGTCACCCTTTCCAGCAGCTCCTCGTCGGACACCACGAATCCCCCAGCCTGGAAGAGCTCCTGGAATGTGTCACCCGTCACCTCCTCGGGGTCGTCCACGCCGGCGAACACCACGCGGGGACAGCGCTTCAGCTCCAGCAGGCACGGCACCTGCTCCATGCAGGACCCGCCTTGGGGACAGCCCGCGGGGACCCGCCCAGGCCAGCCCTGCCGCACCCCAGCACGGCTGTCCCCAAAACTCCCGTCCCCAAAACTCCTGACCCCACACTCCTGACCCCACACTCCCATCCCCACATTCCTGACCCCACACTCCTGTCCCCAAAACTCCCGTCCCCAAAACTCCTGACCCCAAAACTCCTGTCCCCAAAACTCCTGACCCCACACTCCTGACCCCAAAACTCTCGTCCCCACGTTCCTGTCCCAAGTCGCAACACTCCTGTCCCCACATACCCGTCCCCACACTCCCATCCCCACACTCCCATCCCCACACTCCCGTCCCCACATTCCCATCCCCACACTCCCATCCCCACATTCCCATCCCCACATTCCCATCCCCTCAGTCCCGACCCCACACTCCCATCCCCACATTCCATCCCCACATTCCCATCCCCACATTCCCATCCCCACGTTCCCATCCCCACGTTCCCATCCCCACATTCCATCCCCACACTCCCGTCCCCACACTCCCGTCCCCACATTCCCATCCCCTTATTCCTGACCCCACACTCCCGTCCCCACACTCCCATCCCCACATTCCCATCCCCACATTCCCATCCCCTCAGTCCCGACCCCACACTCCCATCCCCACATTCCATCCCCACATTCCCATCCCCACATTCCCATCCCCACGTTCCCATCCCCACGTTCCCATCCTTGCCTAAGGAAGTGGGTGCAAACTTGACCAATTCTCATCCCCACGTTCCCATCCCCACATTCCCATCCCCAATTCTCATCCCCACGTTCCCATCCCCACATTCCCATCCCCACATTCCCATCCCCAAATTCCCATCCCATCCCAGCCCTGCAGGGAGGACTTCCCTGAGGAGCTGAGCCAGGGTGGATTCCTGACCCCACACTCCCATCCCCACACTCCCATCCCCACATCCCATCCCCACATCCCATCCCAGCCCTGCAGGGAGGAATTCCCTGAGGAGCTGAGCCAGGGCGGGGCTCCCCAGCCCAGCCCCCTGCTCCGAGCTGGCTGCCCCCCCGTTTTTGGGGATCCTGGCGCGGGGATCAGCCGAGGGGGCGGCTCACTCACGGTGTGGATGTGGGGGGCGATGTCCTGGTTCCTGACGATGACCAGCAGCCGCTGGCTGCCCCGGGGCTGGGCTCTGCAGAACTCCAGGGGCTCCACGCTCACCAGGCCCTCTGCCTCCAGCAGGGCCTGCAGCACAGCGGGGAGGTTTGGGAATGTTCCCCTGGGAACGTGGGCACAGGAAGGGGATGAGCTGCCCAGGGCAACGGGGGAACCCAGCCCTGCAGGGACACGCACGTGGCACCTGGGGCAGGGTCAGTGGTGGCCTTGGGATGGCTGGAGTTCAAACTAAACCAGAGTTGTTTTAGATGGGATATTGGGAATGAGGAATTGCTGGCTGGGCTGGAACTGCCAGAGCAGCTGGGGCTGCCCCTGATCCCTGCAGTGCCCAAGGCCAGGCTGGACACTGGGACAGTGGGAGGTGTCCCTGCCATGGGGTTGATCCTTAAGGTCCTTCCCACCCAAACCATTCCATGATCCTCCAGTGACTCAATCCCAGGGCTCCTGTGCCTGATTCCAATTCCTGATTCCAAGGTGGCTCCTGGCTCCCAAACCATCCCTGTCAGCTTGCCCAAGCTTCCCTGCCCCTGCCACCCTCAGCTGTCCCTGGGGGCTGCCCATCCTGACCCATTCCCATCCATCCTGACCCATCCTCATCCATCCCAATCCACTCTGCTCCATTCAATCCATCCTCATCCATCCCAATCCATTCTGCTCCATTCAATCCATCCTCATCCATCCCAATCCATTCTGCTCCATTCAATCCATCCTCATCCATCCCAATCCATCCCAATCCACCCTCATCCATCCCAATCCATTCTGATCCATCCCACCTATCCCTACTCACCCCCATCCACCCTGATCCATTCCAATCCACCCCAATTCATCCTGATCCGTCCCAATCCATCTCCATCCATCTTCATCCATTCCCATCCACCCTCATCCACCCTGATCCATTCCAATCCACCCCAATTCATCCTGATCCATCCCAATCCATCTCTCTTCATCCATTCCCATCCACCCTCATCCATCCCCATCCATCCCCATCCACCCTGATCCATTCCAATCCACCCCCATTCAACCTGATCCATCCTAATCAATCTCCATCCATTCCCATCCATCCCAGTCCATTCCCCCCGAGCAGCTCCCACCTTCACCCTGTCGAAGAAGGGCTCCTTCCCGGTCTCCAGCAGGTAGAACATTCCGGGCCGCGCTGCGGCGGCCACGCGGCGCAGGTGCCAGCGCAGGGCCCCGCACAGCTCCGCCACCATTCCCGGGAACGCCGCCGTGCCGCCGGGCCGGGGCCGGGGCTGGGGCTGCCCCCGGGCTGGGGCTGTGCTCCTGGGCTCGGCCCTGGCCTGCAGCACCCTCTGGAACTCCGAGAACTCCTCCAGGATTCCGGCCACGTCCCCGCGCGGCTCCGGCGGCGCGGGCTCCGAGCGCAGCCTGGCCAGGCGCACAGCAGCCCTGGCATCCCTGGCATTCCTGCCAGCTCCGGCATCCCTGCCAGCCCCGGCATCCCTGCCAGCCCGGCTCCTCCTGCTGCCCCCAGCGTCCCTGTGGGAGCGCAGCCACGCGCCCGAGCTGGGGACTGTCACCTGCAAGGGGCTCCTGCTGCGCGGGGACAGCGGGACGGGGGCGTGCCGGGGCGGGGAGCTGGCTGGGAAGGTGCTTTTGGAGGTAGAAAAGGGGGGTCTGCCGTTCCTCAGGGTTTCTTTTAGCTTATAGTGGAAGCGGAGGCACTCCATGTCCAAAGTGTTCTGGGTGATCTCCTGGAAGCCCCTCCAGGTCTCCGTCAGGGACTGGGCCAGGTGAGACTCGCAGGCACGGCGGCCACACGTCCTGGGCAGCTGGAAATGTTCCACCCTCTCCTGGCACTGCCCGGTGACCACGAAGCTCCCGGAATCCCTGGGGGTGTCCCAGGCCTCCCCACGCTCCTCCGTGTGCACGGAGCTCCTGGAGGAGCCGTCCCAGGTAGTCCTTGCTCCTGCAGCATCCGTGGGTGTCATGATGCAGGAGCTCCTGCTTGGAAGAGGTGAGCGAGAATTCCCCTCCAAATATTCCTGGTCTGAGTCACCAAAGGAATTCTCCTCAAAGGCCAAGCCCTCGTGTGTGTCCTGGCTTGGGAGCTGCTCTTCCCTTGGGAGCAGATCTGAAATATCCTCAGCATCGCTGAACTCCGGGTGTTCTCCAGAGAGCTCCCTGGGCTCGTCCCACGGGATGGGAGAAGCTGGAATTCCTCCCTGTCCCACCTCGGCGCCGGCGCAGTCGGGATCGGGGAACGCCGGGGACCCCTCGGGGCTGTGCCCATCCCAGGGCTCGCCCAGGGGACAGCCCCAGGCTGGGAAAGGTGCAGGAATGGGAATGCTGCCTCCTTCCAGGTGCTCCGGCAGGAAGGGCTCCTCCCTGGGGCTCCCTCCGGCATCCCCTGCCTGGCTCCTGGGGCTACCATTGCTACCACGGCTCCTGGGGCTGCCACCACTCCTGGGGCTACCATGGCTACCACGGCTCCTGGGGCTACCACGGCTCCTGGGGCTGCCATGGCTACCACGGCTCCTGGGGCTGCCACAGCTCCTAGGGCTACCATGGCTACCACGGCTCCTGAGGCTGCCATGGCTCCTGAGGCTGCCACAACTCCTGGGGCTACCATGGCTCCTGAGGCCGCCACAACTCCTGGGGCTTCCACGGCTCCTGGGGCTGCCACAGCTCCTAGGGCTGCCATGGCTACCATGGCTCCTGGGGCTACCATGGCTCCTGAGGCTGCCACAACTCCTGGGGCTACCACGGCTCCTGGGGCTGCCATGGCTTCTGGGGCTACCAGGGCTCCTGGGGCTGCCACCACTCCTGGGGCTGCCATGGCTACCATGGCTTCTGGGGCTGCCACCACTCCTGAGGCTGCCACAACTCCTGGGGCTACCATGGCTACCACAGCTCCTGGGGCTGCCATGGCTCCTGGGGCTACCACCACTCCTGGGGCTACCATGGCTACCATGGCTCCTGGGGCTGCCATGGCTCCTGGGGCTACCACCACTCCTGGGGCTACCATGGCTACCATGGCTTCTGGGGCTGCTACCGTTCATGGGGCTACCAGGGCTCCTGGGTCTACCATGGCTACCATGGCTTCTGGGGCTGCCACCACTCTGGGGGCTGCCATGGCTTCTGGGGCTACCATGGCTACCAGGGCTCCTCAGGCTGCCACCGTGCATGGGGCTGCCACGGCTTCTGGGGCTGCCATAGCAGGAAAGGCTGCCATGGCTCCTGGGGCTGCTCCCAGGGCTGCCACGGATCTCGGGGCTACCACGGCTCCTGGGGCTCCTTCCAGGGCTGCCACAGCTCCTGGGGCTGCCATGGCAGGAAGGGCTACCATGGCACTCCTGGGGCTACCATCTCCTGGGGCTGCCATGGCTCCTGGGGCTGCCATGGCAGGAAGGGCTACCACAGCTCCTGTGGCTACCGCAGCTCCTGTGGCTACCACAGCTCCTGGGGCTACTGCAGCTCCTGGGGCTACCACAGCTCCTGGGGCTGCCATGGCAGGAAGGGCTACCACAGCTCCTGTGGCTACCGCAGCTCCTGTGGCTACCACAGCTCCTGGGGCTGCCATGGCTCCTGGGGCTAGCAGAGCTCCTGGGGCTGCTCCTGGGGCTGCCATGGCTCCTGTGGCTACCACAGCTCCTGGGGCTCCTCTCAGGACTACCATAGTTCCTGGGGCTAGCACAGCTCCTGGGGCTGCTCCTGGGGCTGCCATGGCTCCCGGCCCACCGGGCACTGTCTGGAGTGTCAGGGAGCATCCCGGGGAGCGGCGAGCCCAGCTCCGCAGGCTCCGGATGGTCCCATGGGTCACACGGAGGAGCAGGAGCAGATCCCGGCTCCGCAGGCTCCGGATCGTCCCATGGATCACACGGAGGAGGAGAAGCAGGAGCAGATCCCGGCTCCGCAGGCTCCGGATCGTCCCATGGGTCACACGGAGGACACCGGGCACTGTCTGGAGTGTCAGGGAGCATCCCGGGGAGCGGCGAGCCCGGCTCCGCAGGCTCCGGATCGTCCCATGGGTCACACGGAGCAGGACCAGATCCCGGCTCCACTGGCCCGGCTCCGTCACACGGAGGAGCAGGAGCAGGAGCAGGAGCAGATCCCGGCTCCGCAGGCTCCCATGGGTCACACGCAGGAGGAGCAGATCCCGGCTCCGCTGGCTCTGGATCATCCCATGGATCACACGGAGGAGCAGGAGCAGGAGCAGGAGCAGATCCCGGCTCCGCTGGCTCCCATGGGTCACACGGAGGAAGAGGAGCCGATCCCGGCTCCGCACGCTCTGCATCATCCCATGGATCACAAGGAGGAGCAGATCCCAGCTCCGCAGGCTCCGGATCGTCCCATGGATCACACGGAGGAGGAGAAGCAGGAGCAGATCCCGGCTCCGCAGGCTCCCATGGGTCACACGCAGGAGCAGGAGCAGGAGCAGATCCCAGCTCCGCTGGCTCCCATGGGTCACACGCAGGAGCAGGAGCAGATCCCGGCTCCGCAGGCTCTGGATCATCCCACGGATCACACGGAGGAGCAGGAGCAGATCCCAGCTCCGCTGGCTCCCATGGGTCACACGGAGGAGCAGGAGCAGATCCCGGCTCCGCTGGCTCCCATGGGTCACACGGAGGAAGAGGAGCAGATCCCGGCTCCGCACGCTCTGGATCGTCCAATGGGTCACACAGAGGAGGAGGAGCAGGAGCAGATCCTGGCTCCGCAGGCTCTGGATCCTCCCATGGATCACAGGGAGCAGATCCCGGCTCCGCTGGCTCCCATGGATCACACGCAGGAGCAGGAGCAGATCCTGGCTCCGCAGGCTCTGGATCATCCCATGGATCACACGCACGAGCAGGAGCAGATCCCGGCTCCGCTGGCGCACCCACGGGGGAGCAGGGAGCTGGGCACTCCAGCAGCGCTGGGGAACGGCTGGGGTGGAAGGAGCCATCCAGGCTCCAGGCAGCCACGCTCACCCGCGTGGCTCCTCCTTCCAGAGGCTTCCAGAGGCGGCACAGCACCGACTCCCGGCGGCCCGGCACGGCGGGAACACCGGCATTGGGGTCTGAGTCCCCGTGGAGGTTTGGGAAGCTCTGCTGCTGCCTGGGGAGCTCCTGTGTGGCTGAGATGATGGAGGAGGAGGGCTCTGATTCCAGGAGGTGACGGTGGAGAGGCACCTCCGCCATCTCCGCGTCCGTGGTGTCATTCCCAGGGGAATTCTCTGTCCCAGGGAACGCATCCTCGCTCTCCTCAGCTCTGTCTGTGTACTCAAAGGGCGAGTCCCGGCCCTCTCCCGCTCCCACGGGATCATCCAGCTCCTCCATGTCATTGGCAGAGGGGCTCCCCTGCTGCTCCTCCACCAAAACCCCGTTCCTGCCTTGCTCTGACTCCTCAGCATCCAGGGAATTGGGGTCGGGATCGGGGTCACCCCCACCCGGCTGGGGGGAGCAGCTGCTCCGTGCCCGGTCGCTCTGGGACGGGGACTGGACGCTCTCCATGGGCTGATCCTCTGGAGCAGCCCAGGGCTCCATGGACGCGTCGGGAGAGGTCAGGCAGAGGGAGCTGGAGTCGGGGGACAGGGCCAGGCTCACCCCCTGTCTGCAGGGGGACCCCGTGCTCCCAGCAGGCTCCCAGCGCTCCCCAGGGGGAGCCTGATCCTGGATTTTGTGCCCGGAGCCGTTTCCCAGCGCGGCTCCGGCAGGTCCTGGGCTGTCTGTAACGCTGTCGGGCTGTGCCTCACGGACAGGGCTGGGCTCGGGGGGCACTGGCAGCTCCCCGCTGTCACTGTGGGGTGACCCCACCTCGGCCAGACCTCCTCCAACCCCGTTTGTCCCCGACTGCGGCGTGCCCGGAGCGTCCCAGGGATCCGGGAGCTCCTCCTGCTTTGGTGACATCTCCTCGGGAAAGCCCCCAGGGTCAGTCCCGGCCCCATCTGAGGGCGCTGGGGAGGATCTGTCGGGGCAGGGGGGAGCCAGGGAGGTGGGGCTGGGCAGGGGGGCCTCTTCAGGAACACCAAACCGCTCTGGAGACGCCGAATTCCCTGGAATCTTCTCGCCGTGCTCGCACTCCATCTCGGCATCGCTGCTCTCGGACAGCACCAAGCCCACGGGGCCCACGAAGGAGCTTTCATCCTCCATCTCCTCACTCTCCTTCTTCTCCTCCTCCTCCTCCCTCTCCTCTTTTTCCGAGTGCTCCTGGCCTTCCTCCTCTTCCTCAGTGGCTCCCCCAGGCTCGGCACTCCCAGGAGCTGCTTCCAAGGGCGCGGAATCACAGGCAGGCTGCGCATCAGCGCCATCCTCAGCTTCCAGGGAATGCCCTGAGCCTTCCACTCCCTCCTCATCCTCGGGAGGGCCGGGGCCACTCCCCGAGCCTGCTCCCTGCTGGTTTTCCTGCTGCTGCTCCCCGTTTTCCTGAGGGGCACCGGGGGGGTCTGGCCCTGGAGCTGTGCTGGAGTTTGGGGCTTGGCTCCCGGGGTTTTCCGTGCCCGGGGATTTGCTGGGACAGCCGAGCTCCTGGGGAGGGCTGGGGGTGATCCTGGCATCCAGCAGCTCCTCCTTGGCTGGCTCCTCCTGGAACACAATCCACGGGTTAACAAGAAGAAAATGTTCCCCATAGGAAAATGCAGGGAAAAAAAAACCCACTGGAATATTTTTTCCTTCATGCAAAACAGTTCCAGCCCAATGGGAGCTGCTCCTCTGTTCAAGTTTTACAGGAATTATTTTCATTCAAGAATTCAGGTTGGGAAATGTCCCAGCAGAGCCCTGTGTTTTATGTCTACCCCAAGAACCTCCACTCCTGACCATGTGCAGACTGGAGAAAGTGTAAAAATTAATTTCAAGCTTTATCCAGAACGGAATTTTCATGGATTTCACCAGAGGGATGAGGGGAATGATGCAAAGCACTGCACTGGCACCTGTGTGGGGGAAAATCTGAGCTAACAAATCCCAGCTTTCCAAATCCATGTGGGAATGGCTGTGCTGGATTTGGGATTCTGCTCTGGGATGCTGGGGGCTCCCCTGATCTGAGGACACACAAACGTGGAATTTAAATCAGGAACAGGCGCTGAGCTCGACACTTTAATTACTTTAATTTGGGATTCCTCCCCCTTGGAGAGCATCCCTGCATCCCTGGATACCCCACAAGCACAGCTGCTCCATTCCTCTGGAAAATCCTGCTCCTCTAAGAGGAAAATTCTGCTCCTCTAGAGGAAAATCCTGCTTCCCTAAGAGAAACTCCTGCTCTTTTAAGAGGAAAATCCCACTCCTTTAAAAGGAACATTCTGCTCTTTTAGGAGGAAAACCCTGTTCTTCTAGGAGGAACATCCTGTTCTTTTAGGAGGAAATTCCTGCTCTTTTAGGAGGAAAACCCTGCTCTTTTAGGAGGAAAACCCTTCTGTTTTAGGAGGAAAACCCTGCTCTTTCAGGAGGAAAACCCTTCTGTTTTAGGAGGAAAACCCTGCTCTTTTAGGAGGAAACTCCTGCTCTTTTAAGAGGAAACTCCTGCTTTCAGGAGGAAAACCCTGCTCTTTCAGGAGGAAAACCCTGCTCTTTCAGGAGGAAAACCCTGCTCTTCTAGGAGGAAACTCCTGCTCTTCTAGGAGGAAACTCCTGCTCTTTCAGGAGGAAAACCCTGCTCTTCTTGGAGGAAACTCCTGCTCTTTCAGGAGGAAACCCCTGCTCTTTTAGGAGGAAAACCCTGCTCTTCTTGGAGGAAACTCCTGCTCTTTCAGGAGGAAAACCCTGCTCTTTTAGGAGGAAAACCCTGCTCTTCTAGGAGGAAACTCCTGCTCTTTCAGGAGGAAAACCCTGCTCTTCTTGGAGGAAACTCCTGCTCTTCTAGGAGGAAACTCCTGCTCTTTCAGGAGGAAAACCCTGCTCTTCTTGGAGGAAACTCCTGCTCTTTCAGGAGGAAAACCCTGCTCTTTTAGGAGGAAAACCCTGCTCTTCTAGGAGGAAACTCCTGCTCTTTCAGGAGGAAAACCCTGCTCTTCTTGGAGGAAACTCCTGCTCTTTCAGGAGGAAAACCCTGCTCTTTTAAGAGGAAAACCCTGCTCTTTCAGGAGGAAACTCCTGCTCTTTCAGGAGCAAACTCCTGCTCTTTCAGGAGGAAAACCCCACTCTTTTAGGAGGAAACTCCTGCTCTTTCAGGAGGAAAACCCCACTCTTTCAGGAAGAAAACCCCACTCTTTCAGCAGCAAAGCACTCCCTGGAGCCCCCAGGCCGCACTCACCGCGGTGACGCTCCAGACGCGGCGCGCGCTCTCCTCGGCAGCGCCCTCCGGCTCCCCCCCTGCCACATCCAGCTTCTCCCTGGCGCCATCCTGCAGGGCAAGGCTCTCGGGACAGCTGGTGGAGGAAGGCTGCTCCTCCTCCTCCCCGCAGGGCAGCTCCCCCGAGGAGGAGGACACCGTGCTGTCCACGGCCGCAGCGGCTCCGTCCGCGTCCGTCTGGGAATCCGCGGGGCTCCTCTGGGGCTGGGAAGAGCCCTGGGAAGGGGGGCTGGGATCCAGGGAGCTGCTGGGGGTCTGGTCAGGATCTGAGCCGGAGTCTGCGGGACACGTCTCGAAGCCAAAGCAGTCCTGGCTGTCGTCACTGAGCTCCAGGAAGCCGGAGCTGTTGATGGAGACGAATTTCCTGGGATTGCTGTGCTCCACCACCTTCCTGGAGCTGCTCAGGAGCTTGCTGGGCTTCCTGTAGAACAGGGCCACCCACATGTGCAGGATCAGCTTCATCCCTTCCACGTCGTCGGGAAGATCGGGATCCCAGGGCCTGGGAAGGGAAGCAAAGAGAGTCTGGGCCATCCTCATCCTCGCCCGTTCAGCTCCAGGGAATTCATCCCTGGAGTTCATCCCTGGGATTCATCCCCTGGAACTCATCCCTGAGAATTCATCCCTGAGAGTTCATCCCTAGGATTCATCCCTAGGATTCATCCCTGGAGTTCATCCCTGGGATTCATCCCCTGGAATTCATCGCTGGAGTTCATCCCTGTAGTTCATCCCTGGAGTTCATCCCTGAGAATTCATCCCTGAGAATTCACCCCTGGAGTTCATCCCTAGAGTTCATTCCTGGAGCTGATCCCTGAGAATTCATCCCTGAGAATTCATCCCTGAAATTCATCCCTAGGATTCATTCCTAGGATTCATCCCTGAGAGTTCATCCCTGGAGTTCATCCCTGAGAATTCATCCCTGAAATTCATCCCTGAGAATTCATCCCTGAGAATTCATCCCTGAAATTCATCCCTAGGATTCATCCCTGAGAGTTCATCCCTGGAGTTCATCCCTGGAATTCATCCCTGAGAGTTCATCCCTGGAGTTCATCCCTGGGATTCATCCCTGGGATTCATCCCTGAGAATTCATCCCTGAGAATTCATCCCTGAGAGTTCATACCTGGAGTTCATCCCTGAGAGTTCATCCCTGAGAATTCATCCCTGAAATTCATCCCTAGGATTCATCCCTGAGAATTCATCCCTGAGAATTCATCCCTGGAGTTCATCCCTGGGATTCATCCCCTGGAATTCATCCCTGAGAATTCATCCCTGGAGTTCATCCCTGAGAATTCATCCCTGGAGTTCATCCCCTGGAATTCATCCCTGAGAATTCATCCCTGAGAATTCATCCCTGGCTCCCTTGAGGGCTCAGGCCCAAGGCACAGGGGCACACACTGCTTGATGCAGATTCCAGCTTTTTGCAGGGAAAAATAAAAACAGAGGAAATCCGAGCTCCAAAGGAGGGATGGAGGACTTGGCCTTGTGGCTTTAGGCACCAATTCCAGCTGCAGAGCCACGGGAATTGCAGAATCATGGAATGGGCTGGGTGGGAAGGGACCTCAAAGCCCACCCAGTGCCACCCTGCCATGGCAGGGACACCTGCCAGTGTCCCAGAATGTCCAGCCTGGCCCTGGGCACTGCAGGGATCAGGGGCAGCCCCAGCTGCTCTGGCAATTCCAGCCCAGCCAGCAATTCCTCATGGCCAACATCCCATCCATGGCTGCCCTCCCGGAGCCCCTGGAATGTGCTGGAAGCTCTCCCTGGAGCCTTCTCCTCTCCAGGGAACATTCCCAGCTCTCCCAGCCTGGCTCCAGCCCCGGAGCAGCTCCGTGCATTCCTCTGGAGCTGCTGCTGTGCCCCCAGGGCTGGGGCAGCTCTGCAGGTGGGCTCTCACCTGGGAGGGCCAGAATTCCCCAATTCCCCCTTTTCCTGCTGCCCACCCCAGGATCACCTGGAATTGTGGATCACCCCAGGACGGGCTGGAATTTTGGGTCCAGCACACGGGGCTGGGTCACATCCACTGTGCCCCTCACCCCCAAACCCTCTTTCCCAAGAAAACCACAGCACCACAGGGAACAAACCCCACAATTGTGGAACCCAAAAGACAGGAACCCCATTCCCAAACCCCTCCAGCCACCCTGACTTACCCATGCAGGGCACGGATGACGGTTTTCTCCAGGGAATCATTGGTGTACCTGCTGTCCAGGTGGAAGAGGTACTCCTCCTCCCAGCGGCGCGTGACCTTCATGGAGTTCCCACAGAGATTCACCGTGTGGCTCTGGGAGAAATCCTCCTTCTTCCTGGGAGCGCCCAGGCTCCGGGCGGGCTCGGCGCTGCTCTGGTGGCGCCGGAACGGCAGCACCTTCCCAACCAAGGGAGCTCCCGGGGGGTTCCTGGGGGCAGCTCCGGCATTCCCTTTGGGATCTGGGGGTGCTCTGGGATCCTCGGGCAGCGGGGAGGCGTAGGAGTGCTCGGCTGAGATGATGGAGTGCTTGTTCACCCCGCAGCCCTGCGCGGCCGCCCGGGGAGGGAACGCCCGGAACGCGGCGGGGATGGGAGCCCCGCTGCTCCTGCTGGGAATTCCAGAGGGTTTTTCCAAAGGAGGAGAGGCCAGCTGGCTGGGATCTGCTTCTTCGGGAAGCGGCTGCGTCGGGGGCACCTTGCTGCAGGTGGGTTTTCTGCCCTGCCTGTCTGCCCTGTGGTACTTGTGGTCGGAATCCACGCGCAGGGATTTGGGGTCGGACGGGCTCTGCCGCTCCCAGGGATCCCCAGGTTCCATGGGGACGCTCCCGGAATCCTTGGGAATGAAGGCAGGGATGCAGGAGCCCAGCGCCAGGTCGGCCAGCAGGTTCAGGGCGTGCGAGTCACCGCTGTCCCCTGGCAGGGCAAAGGCCACGCTGGCAAGTGCCACGGGAGGGACATTCCCTGGGATTTCTGCTCCAGAGGGATGGGATGAGGCCTCGGGGGGGGGCTCCGAGAGCAGCTCCTTCAGCTCTGGGGGAAACAGGGAAAAATCCATGGAAAAATCCATTTAAAAAGGGGAAAAACCCATTCAGAAAGGGAAAAGTCTGTTTGAAAAGGGAAAAAACCCATTTAGAAAAGGAAAAATCAGTCTAAAAAGGGAAAAAACCCATTTAGAAAGGGAAAAGTCTGTTTGAAAAGGGAAAAAACCCATTTAGAGAGGGAAAAATCTGTTTAAAAGGGAAAAAATCCATTTTTGGACTTGAGTTTTTTACAAGGGTTTTTTTGGGATTTCTGGGAATTTTTGGGTTTGGCAGGAGCCATCCCATGAGAGATGCTGGATGCACTCTGGGTGCTCCCAAGGTAACAAGGGAATGTTGATCATGGAATGCTGGAAGGGAATTTCAGGATCATCCCAGTCCAACCCTATGACTCATCCCAATATCAAGTGAAACATAAAATTGGGGTTTTTTTACAGCCAAACTGGGTTTTTTGGGGATTTTTTGGGGATTTTTTTGGGGTTTAGCAGGAGCCATCCCACTGGAGAGATGATTCCATGATTCCTGATCATGGAATGCTGGAAGGGAATTTAAGGATCATCCCCACAGCTCATCCCATCACCCCAGTGGCCCTGGACACTTGCGGAGGATTCTCTGGGAATTCCATCCCAGAATTTCTCCCCAGTATTTGACATTTTCCCCGTTTCAATCCAAAGCCATTCGTTTCATCCCTGCCATTGCATGGCTCAGCTTTTAAAGGAATTTTTCCCCCAGGGAATTTTTCCTCACCGCTCTCTTCCTGCTGCTTCTCAGGAGGTTTTGATGTTTTGTTTTCCACGTTTTTCTGCGTTTTGCTTTTCCCTGGCTTCGTGCCTCCCTCAGTGACAGGAGCCTTCTTGGAATCCAGGTTTTCCAGAGTTTTTGGCCTCTTTGCCTCCACGCCAGGACCATTGGGAGCTGAGATTTCCTTCTCAGCACTTTCACACTGGGGTTTGTGGACAATTTCTGCGGCCAGCACCTCTGCACCTGGGACAGGGAAAAGCAGGGGTTGATTTTAATTTGGGAATTCTTTGGGTTAAAAATTCATTGGGAAAAGGGAGGGGTGCTAGGAAAGGGTTCTGGTAATTTTACTTCTCATTATCCTGATTTAACTGAGAATATAATTAATTTATTCCCAATTAAATCAGGATAATGAGAAGTAAAATCTGAGCTGGCAGCACCCAATTTCAGGTAGCTTCCCTGGGATAATTCCTGAGATTTGGATGCTCCAGGCACTTGGAAAGCTCCTGGATGGTTCCCAGTGAACCCAGCTGGATGGGAGGAGGAAACCAACCCCATTTTTGCAGCTCTCACCTCTTTTCCTTCCATGTGGCAACTGCAAATTGGCCAATTTCAGCATGGGCTCGTTGGCATTCCCAGCAGATCCCGATTTTTTGGGACAAGGGGAGGCGACGCTGGTTTTTTTCCTGGCTGCCTCCCTGCTCCTGCTGCTGCTCTCCCCTGGATGTGCTTGTGCCTTGAGGGGCGGCACGCTCTTCCCGAGGATCCTGCTGGATTTCCTCCTGACCTCCCTGCCCCAGGGCTTGGTGGGAGAGGTGAAACTTTTCAGCAATCTCTCCGAAGGCACGCTGGGAAGCCCTCCCTTATCCCGCGGGATTCCCGCCGCTCCGCCGGCAGCAGCAGGATCTGGGGGCACGGGGGGGGAGCAGGAGGTGCCAGGAGCGGGTGCCAGCTCGCTGCCAGCCCCACGCAGGCACCGCAAGGCTGCAGAGATGCCCAGGGTGAAGCTGCTGGGGTCGGACAGGTACCGGCGCAGCTGCGCCAGGCACGGCCCCGCGCCCCCCTCCTGCCAGGGACAGGGGCCAGCGGGCTCGGCAGCGTCACTGCCCTGCCACGGGCTGCCCTCAGGGCTGCCCCGGAGCTGGGCATACTCCTGGAGGTGCTGCTGGATGCTGGGCACGCCCGGGGGGCTGCAGGGGGAGCCGGCTGCCTTGCGCAGGGCGTAGCGCAGCCCCGGCACAACGGAGGCGATTTTCAGCGAGAGGGAATTCCTGGCACTGCCCTCCTGCCTGGCCCTCGGGTCCGGCTGCTCCGCTGGGAAAGGGAGAGCAGAAGGGATTTTAGGGCAGGTAGGAAAGGAGGGAATGCGTTAAATCGTTCCGTGGTGCGGGGAAATGTTGGAGGGAAGGGGAAGAATGGAAAGGAAAAAGGGGGAAAGGAGAAAGAAAATTAAAAGGGAGAAAAAGATATTGAAGGAAAAGCTCCAAAATCAGCCTGCAAAAAGTTCAGCCCAGGGGAAACGTTGAAATGCTCCAGGTGCATCCCACCAAACATCCCAAACCTGCTCTGGATCCCACCAAACATCCCAAACCTGCTCTGGATCCCACCCAACATCCCAAACCTGCTCTGGATGGATCCCACCAAACATCCCAAACCTGCTCTGGATGGATCCCACCAAACATCCCAAACCTGCTCTGGATGGATCCCACCCCACATCCCAAACCTGCTCTGGATCCCACCAAACATCCCAAACCTGCTCTGGATGGATCCCACCCCACATCCCAGCCCTGCACAGGGGTCCCACCTCGGGGGCTCAGCGCGCGGGGGGAGCGGAACAGGAACAGGGCCAGCAGGGTCACGGGCTCCCTGGGCTCCCTGGGCTCCTTGGGCTCCCTGGGCTCCCTGGGCTCCTTGGGCTCCAGGCCTGCAGGAAACAGGGCTGGGGTCACAGGTTTTTTGTAGCTTATGCACCCAGGCTTAGTCTGAGCACCCAGGCTTGGTCTGAGAAACCAGGTTGGGTTTAGAAACCACACACAGTCTGAGAAAGCAGGTTTGCTTTCAGAATCCTCATTTTTGTTGAGAAACCAGGTTTGGGTTCAGAAACCAGGTTTAGTTTAAAAAACAGGTTCAGTTTGAGAAACCAGGTTTGGATTGAGAAACCAGGATTTAAATAAGAAACCAGGTTCAGTTTGACAAACCAAGTTTGGTTAAGGAACCAGGTTTAGTTTGAGGAACCAGGTTTAGTTTGAGAAACCAAGATTTGGTTAAGAAACTAGGTTTAGTTTAATATAAAAGGTTCAGTTTGGGGTTTGGGTTCAGAAACCAGGTTTAGTTTAAAAAACAGGTTCAGTTTGAGAAACCAGGTTTGGATTGAGAAACCAGGTTTTAAATAAGAAACCAGGATTTAAATAAGAAACCAGGCTCAGTTTGACAAACCAAGTTTGGTTAAGAAACCAGGTTTAGACTGAGAAACCAGGTTTTAAATAAGAAACCAGGATTTAAATAAGAAACCAGGTTCAGTTTGAGAAACCAGGTTTAGTTTGAGAAACCAGGTTTTAAATAAGCAACCAAGATTTAAATAAGAAACCAGGTTTGTGTTAAGAAATGACGTTCAGTTTGAAAAAACAAGTTTTGCTTAAGAAACTAGGTTTAGTTTAAAAAAACTGGTTCAGTTTGAGAAACCAAGTTTTGGTTAAGGAACCAGGTTTAGCTTGACAAACCAGGTTTAGTTTGATAAACCAGGTTTAGTTTGAGAAAGCAGGTTTAGTTTGAGAAAGCAGGTTTAGACTGAGAAACCAGGTTTTAAATAAGAAACCAAGATTTGGTTCAGAAACCACGTTCAGTCTGAGACACCAAGTTCTGGTTAAGGAACCAAGTTTAGTTCAAAAAACCAGGTTCAGTTTAAAACCACGGGTTCAGTTTGATAAACCAGGTCCAGCTTAGCCTCTAAACCCAGCAGGAGTTAAGCCCAGCCCAGCCCAGCCCAGCCCAGCCCAGCTCACCATCCTCCCGTGCCAGGGCTGAGGACGTGAGCAGGATCAGAACTCCCTGGTCCTGTAAATATTTGATGATTGCCTGCAACAAACAGAGAAAAAATCCAACTCTGCTCCCTCCCTGCCGCCTGTGCCAGCTGGGATCAAAATATTCCTTCTGCAGGCCTAAAATTCCTTAAAATAAAGAAATATCCTGATCAAGCGGGCTGGAATTAATGAGGGTTAATTATCTAGCCCTGCCAGGAACTGCAGCCAAAGGGGAAGACAAAATTCCTGGGAAAGACATAATTCCAGCATGGAGGAAAACCACAAAATTCCTGGGAAAAGTCAAAATTCCAGGATCGTGGAAAAGACAAAATCCCAGCTCAGATCCCAGATCCCAGCTCAGATCCCAGCTCAGATCCCAGATCCCAGCTCAGATCCCAGCTCAGATCGCAGATCCCAGCCCAGATCCCAGCTCAGATCCCAGCTCCCAGCTCAGACCCAGCCCAGATCCCAGCTCCCAGCTCCCAGCTCCCAGCCCAGATCCCAGCTCCCAGCCCAGCTCCCAGCCCAGCTCCCAGCTCAGCTCCCAGCTCCCAGCCCAGCTCCCAGCTCAGATCCCAGATCCCAGCTCAGATCCCAGATCCCAGCCCAGATCCCAGCTCCCAGCCCAGATCCCAGATCAGATCCCAGCTCAGATCCCAGCTCCCAGCTCAGATCCCAGATCCCAGCTCAGATCCCAGCTCCCAGCTCCCAGCCCAGATCCCAGCTCCCAGCTCAGATCCCAGCCCAGACCCCAGATCCCAGCCCAGATCAGCTCCCAGCTCCCAGCTCCCAGCCCAGATCCCAGCTCCCAGCCCAGATCCCAGATCAGATCCCAGCTCAGATCCCAGCTCCCAGCTCAGATCCCAGATCCCAGCTCAGATCCCAGCCCAGATCCCAGCTCAGATCCCAGCCCAGATCCCAGATCCCAGCCCCGATCCCAGCCCCGATCCCAGATCCCAGATCCCAGATCCCAGCTCCATTAATCCTCAGGTGAGAGAAAGAACAAGTGAGAGCAGCGAAGAAGGAAAACAACATTTCAAGCAGGGTAATCAATTCCGCTTTGCATTAATTGTGGATAACGACACCAAAAACGCCATTTCCGGGCCGTGTTCCCCCAGAACAACTCTCACCAGGTCCTCCTCCCTCAGCTTTTCCAGCAGCTGATCCATTCTGGGCTGCTCCTTGTTGGATATTTCCACCTCGTAGAGGCTGGAGTAAACACCCTGGAAGCAGACTGGGGGAAAAGAAAAGGATTTGGGGTTGGGATGGGATTTTCCACGGAGGGCGGGGGTGGAATCCCTGGAAATTGGGGTTTTTCACCCCCACCTTCATTCCTGGTGTAATTTTTTTTCCCAAAAGCGGCTTCTGGAAGTTTTTTCTTCAGGTCAGCCAATCCCATGACGTGTTTGATGTCCAGGCTGGGAGGCCTGAGGGGATAAAGCACAAAAAAAATCAGGATTTGGGAGAGCTGGGAGCCAAAAAAAGCTCAGGAAGAGCTGCAGCTGCTCAGGATCCTGTGGGCAAATCCCGGGAAGCTCAAATCGCAGATCCTGGGTGTTTAAGCCAGGACTAGAGCAGCCTGGTTTAGTGCCAGGGCTCAGAACGGAATTCTTTTAAAGAATTTCTTCTTCTTTAAAATTTTTATCTCCTCCCCCAGCTGTGACCCATTCCTGAGCTGACTGTCCCAACACCCAGCAGCGAAGGCACGGGCAGGAAAGGACAAAAACTGGCTTAGCTTGAGAAACCAGGCTTAGCTTGAGAAACCAGGCTTAGCTTGAGAAACCAGGCTTAGCTGGAGAAACCAGGCTTAGAAGGAGAAACCAGGCTTAGCTGGAGAAACCAGGCTTAGAATGAGAAACCAGGCTTAGCTTGAGAAACCAGGCTTAGCTTGAGAAACCAGGCTTAGAATTAGAAACCAGGTTTAGTTTGAAAAACCAGGTTTAGAATTAGAAACCAGGCTTAGTTTGAAAAACCAGGTTTGGCTTAAGAAACCAGGTTTAGTTTGAGAAACCAGGTTTAGTTTAAGAAACCAGGTTTAGCTTGAGAAACCAGGATTTGGTCAAGGAACAAGGTTCAGTCTGAGAAAGCAGGCTCAGTGTGCTAAGCCCAGCTCAGGGTGCTAAGCCCGGCTCAGGGTGCTAAGCCCGGCTCAGTTAAGCCCAGCCCAGGCACTCACAGCTGGGCGGGCACGCTGCCCGCGCTGTGCTAAGCCCGGCTCAGGGTGTTAAGCCCGGCTCAGGGTGCTAAGCCCGGCTCAGTTAAGCCCAGCCCAGGCACTCACAGCTGGGCGGGCACGCTGCCCGCGCTGTGCCGGCTCCTCAGGCCGATGGTGCAGAGGCGCCGGCCCCCGATGCAGAGCTGGCCCCGCCACGGGCACGGCGCTGGGCACGGCGCTGGGCACGGCGAGCGCGGCGCTGCGGGGGAACGGAGACTGGGAACCCAGGAAGCACAAAGCCAAACCCCGCAACCGCGAACACAAAAACCCCAAACCCAAAACCCACCAGAAAAACCCACAACCCCGAACCCAAAAACCACAATCCCAAAAACCACAACCCAAACCCAAAAACCACAGCCTCAAAACCCCCAAAACCCCAAACACAACCAGAAAAACCAGAACCCCAAACTCAAAAACCACAATCCCAAAAACCACAATCCCAAACCCAAAAACCACGGCCTCAAAAACCACAACCGCAAAAACCCCAAACCTAAAATCCACAACCACAACCCCAAAAACCACAACCCCAAAAACCAAAGCCTCAAACCTCAAAAACCCCTATCCCAAACAACCACAACCCCAAAAACCCCACGTTCAAAAAACACAAACCCAACCCGAAAAATCACAACCCAGAACCCAAAAACCCCAAACCCAAAAACCCCCAGAACCCAAAACACAACCAGAAAAAAACAGAACCCCAAACCCAAAAATCAGAACCCCAAAAACCACAACCCCAAAAACCCCACGTTCAAAAAACACAAACCCAACCCGAAAAATCACAACCCAGAACCCAAAAACCCCAAACCCAAAAACCCCCAGAACCCAAAACACAACCAGAAAAAAACAGAACCCCAAACCCAAAAATCAGAACCCCAAAAACCACAACCCCAAAGCCAAAAACCACAGCCTCAAAACCAAAAACCCACAACCCCAAAAACCACAATTCCAAACCCAAAAACCACGGCCTCAAAACCCAAAAACCACAACCACAAACCCAAAAACCCCACACTCAAAAAACACAAACGCAACCCAAAAAATCACAACACCAAACCCAAAAACCCCACACTCAAAAAACACAAACGCAACCCAAAAAATCACAACACCAAACCCAAAAACCCCACACTCAAAAAACACAAACGCAACCCAAAAAATCACAACACCAAACCCAAAAACCCCAAAACCAAAAACCCCCAAAACCCCAAACACAACCAGAAAAACCAGAACCACAATCCCAAACAACCACAACCCCGAAAACCACAACTCCAAAAAGCACAACCCCAACCCCAAAAAACCCCAATCCCAAATCCAAAACCGCCAACACCAAAAACCCCAATCCCAAACAACCACAACCCCCAAAACCACAGCCTAAAACCCCAAAAACCCCAGGCTCAAAAACCACAAAGCCAACCCAAAAAACTGGGGGGGACTGGGAGGGAACTGGGCTGAACTGGAAAAGCCACTTAGGAGCACTGGGCTGAACTGGGATGAACTGGGAGGGACTGGTATTAACTGGGAGGGACTGGGAGGCACTGGGTTGAACTGGGAGGCCCTGGAGGGGGAACTGGGGAGGGACTGGGGTGAACTGGGAATTAACTGGGCTGAACCGGGAGTCACTGGGAGGGACTGGGAGGGGGAACTGGGATGAACTGGGCTGAACTGGGAGGAACTGGAAAAACCACTTTAGAGGGCTGGGCTGAACTGGGATGGACTGGGGTGAACTGGGATGAACTGGGAAGCACTGGGGGGGGACTGGGATTGAACTGGGAGGAACTGGGAAGCACTGGAGGGGAAACTGGGCTGAACTGGGAGGAACTGGGAGGTAGAACTGGGATTGAACTGGGCTGAACTGGGAGGAACTGGGAAAGCCACCCAAGAGCACTGGGCTGAACTGGGATGGGCACTGGGAGGGACTGGGAGGGAAGGGGAGGGAAGGGGCCGGTCCTTACGGGCGGAGCGGCGCCGGCGCCGGCATCTCGCGGGCCGGGCGGTGCTGGCACGCCAGCAGCACGTACGGGCACACCTGGCGGGGCCGCTCGGCCGCACCCGCCCCGCTCACCTCGTACACGTAGTACTGGGGAGAGAGGGGAACAGGGGGGTTATTGGGGATAAAACATGGGGATAATCCATGGGAACGGGGAACTCCCCCCGCTCACCTCATACACGTAGTACTGGGGAGCGGGGGAACAGGGGGGGTTACTGGGGATAATCCATGGGGATAATCCATGGGGGATAATCCATGGGAACGGGGAATTCACCCCCCTCACCTCATACACGTAGTACTGGGGAGAGGGGGAACAGGGGGGGTTACTGGGGATAATCCATGGGGATAATCCATGGGGGATAATCCATGGGAACAGGGAATTCACCCCGCTCACCTCGCACATGTAGTACTGGGGAGAAGGGGAACAGCTGTGGGATATTGGGGATAATCCATGGGAACGGGGAATTCACCCCGCTCACCTCGTACACGTAGTACTGGGGAGAGAGGGGGAACAGGGCGGGTTATTGGGGATAATCCATGGGATACTGGGGATAACCCATGGGGATAACCCATGGGGAAAGGGAATTCACCCTGCTCAACTCATACACGTAGTACTGTGAGAGAATGGGAAACAGCCCTGGGATACTGGGGATAATCCATGGGGGATAATCCATGGGATACTGGGGATAATCCATGGGGAATAATCCATGGGATACTGGGGATAATCCATGGGAACAGGGAATTCACCCCGCTCACCTCGTACATGTAGTACTGGGGAAACACAGGGAACCATCCATGGGGACTAGGAATCATCCATGGGAATGGGGAATCATCCATGGAGATTGGGGAATCATCCATGGGATACTGGGGAATATCCATGGGGAACTGGGAATAATCCATAGGATACTGGGGAATAATCCACAGGGAATCCATGGGAAAAAGGGAAATCCATGGAATGTGGGACTGGGAACAGGGCAATCCCTGGAATGTGGGGCTGGGAAAAGGGCAATCCAAGGCAAAGGACAATCCCGGCACCTGGCTGCTCCCGCTGGACACGTGGCAGTCGTAGCCGGGCGAGGGGCAGGTGCAGCTGCTGGGGGAGCTCTCAGGGATGGCTCGGACCTTGCCCTGCAGCAAAAACACATCCCAAGGGTGGAAATCCATGGAATCCTTCCCAAAAATCCATCCCAAGAGTGGAAATCCATGGAATCCTTCCCAAAAATCCATCCCAAGAGTGGAAATCCATGGAATCCTCCCCAAAAATCCATCCCGAGAATAGAAATCCATGGAATCCTTCCCAAAAATCCATCCCAAGGATGGAAATCCAAGGAATAGTCCCAGGGATGTGTTTTGTTCCCCATGTTGGAAGAGCAGGGTGAGGGAGGTGTGGTTGTGGGGTTCCAAAAATTCAGGTGGGTTTGGGGTGGGAAGAGCCAGGGGCAGGAGTGGGGTTTGGAATCAGCTCCAGGCAGGAGGAATGGGGAAAAAAAAATAAATTAAAACTCCCAAAATTCCTGAGAATCCAAGGAAAAATTGGAGGTTGATTTTCCGTCCCACCAGAACTGTGGGCAGCAAAATCAAACTTCTTTCTTCAAAAAGGAATTTCCACACTCAGGAGTTTGGGTTTGGAATCAGCTCCAGAGATGAGAAGGGGGGAAAAAAATCCTCCAACTTCCCAACACTCCTAAAAATCCAAGGAAAAATTGGAGCCTGGAGTTTGATTTTCCATCCCATCAAAATTATGGGCAGCAAAATCTCAAAGTTCAAATTTCACAGAGAAATTTCCAATGGGAAGAGTTTGGGATTGGAGTCAGCTCCAGACAGCAGGAAGGGGAAAAACCCTCAAAATTCCCAAATTTCCAAGGAAAATTTGGAGTCTGATTTTCCATCCCACCAGAATTATGGGCAGCATTAAAAAAAAAAAAGAGAAAAAGAGAAATAAAAAGAGGAATTTCCAGTGTGAAGAGTTTGGGTTTGGAATCAGCTCCAGACACCAGGAAGGGGAAAAAACCCTCAAAATTCCCAAAATTCCTGAAATTCCAAGGAAAATTTGGAGTCTGATTTTCCATCCCACCAGAATTATGGGCAGCAAAATCTCAAAGTTCAAATTTCACAGAGAAATTTCCAATGGGAAGAGTTTGGGATTGGAGTCAGCTCCAGACAGCAGGAAGGGGAAAAAAACCTTCAAAATTCCCAAAATTCCTGAGAATCCAAAGGAAAATTGGATTCTGGAGCCTGATTTTCCATCCCACCAGAATTATGGGCAGCATTAAAAAAAAAAAAGAGAAAAAGAGAAATAAAAAGAGGAATTTCCAGTGTGAAGAGTTTGGGTTTGGAATCAGCTCCAGACACCAGGAAGGGGAAAAAACCCTCAAAATTCCCAAAATTCCTGAAATTCCAAGGAAAATTTGGAGTCTGATTTTCCATCCCACCAGAATTATGGGCAGCAAAATCTCAAAGTTCAAATTTCAAAGAGAAATTTCCAATGTCAGACTTTGGGATTGGAATCAGCTCCAGACAGCAGGAAGGGGAAAAAATCCCTCAAAATTCCCAAAATTCCTGAAATTCCAAAGGAAAATTGGATTCTGGAGTTTGATTTCTAGGCAATTAAAGATGTGGGTTTTACCTTGATGAGTTTGCAGATGACAATAAATCCTGATTTTCCCTGGTGCCAAGGGCTGGGATGGAGGCAGTCGGAATATTTGGAAATATAAACCCCTGGAAAATCAAAAAAAAATGAGAATTATTTGTCAGCAGGGAAAGATATTCCCAAAAAAGTCTGTAAAGAAAACGGAATATTCCCAGAAAATCAGTTATGGGGTGATAAAGGGTGTTAATGTTCCCAGAAAATGAGAAATATTCCAAGAAAAATAAGAAATATTCCCAGAAAGTGAGAAATATTCCAAGAAAAATGAAAAATATTCTCAGAAAAATGAGAAATATGCCCAGGAAATGAGAAATATTCCAAGAAAAATTATAAATATTGCCAGAAAACCAGATCTTGGGTAACAAAAGCAGTTCCTATTCCCAGAAAATGAACAGCTGAAGGAATGCTGCCATTCCCTGGGAAAAATCCCACCCTCACCTGGCAGAAAGATCAGAAAAAAGGGAATTTTCCAGGGGTTTTTGCAGAAAAACCCAGGAATTTTGACCTTTTGCCTTGGCTTTGGAAGGAGTTTATTCCCTAAATGGGAATTTGGAAAGAGTTTCACTCCCAGAGTGGGGATTTGGAAGGAGTTTGGAAGGTGGTTTTGGAAGGAGTTATTTCCCTAAAGGGGAATTTGGGAGGATTTTTAGTCCCAAAATTGGAATTTGGAAGGAGTTTGGAAGGAGTTTATTCCCCAAATGGGAATTTGGAAGGAGTCTATTCCCAGAATGGGGATTTTTTAGAAGGAGTTTCATTCCCAGAGTGGGAATTTGGAAGGAGATTTATTCCCAGAATGGGATTTTGGAAGGAATTTGATTCCCAGAATGGGAATCTAGAAGGAATTTCATTCCCCAGAATAGGAATTTGGAAGGGATTTGAAGGAGTTTCATTCCCAGAGTGGGAATTTAAAGGAGTTTTATTCTCAGAGTGGGAATTTGAAGGAATTCCATTGCCAGAATGGGAATTTGTAAGGAATTTGAAGGAGTTTCATTCCCAGAGTGGAAATTTAGAAGGAATTTTGAAGGAGTTCCATTGCCAGAGTGGGAATTTGAAGGAATTTTGTAGGAATTTTATTCCCAGAGTGGGAATTTGGAAGGAATTTAGAAGGAGTTTCATCCCCAGAATGGGAGTCTGAAGGAATTTGGAAGGAGTTTCGTTCCCAGAGTGGGAATTTGGAAGGAATTTATTCCCAGAATGCGAATTTGGAAGGAATTTTTGAAGGAGTTTCATTCCCAGAGTGGGAATTTGAAGGAATTTGGGAGGAATTCCATTCCCAAAATGGGGATTTGAAGGAATTTAAAGGAGTTTCATTCCCAAAGTGGGGATTTGAAGGAATTTTGAAGGAGTTTTACTCTCAGAGTGGGAATTTGGAAGTGATTTGAAGGAGTTCCATTCCCAGAGTGGGAATCTGAAGGAATTGGAAGGAATTTCAATCCCAGAGTGGGAATCTGAAGGAATTCCAACCCCAGAGTGGGAATTTGAAGGAATTTTGTAGGAATTTTATTCCCAGAGTGGGAATTTGGAAGGAATTTAGAAGGAGTTTCATCCCCAGAATGGGAGTCTGAAGGAATTTGGAAGGAGTTTCGTTCCCAGAGTGGGAATTTGGAAGGAATTTATTCCCAGAATGCGAATTTGGAAGGAATTTTTGAAGGAGTTTTATTCCCAGAATGGGAATTTGGAAAGAATTTGGAAGAGGTTTTATTCCCAGAGTGGGAATTTGGAAGGAATTTAGAAGGAGTTTCATCCCCAGAATGGGAGTCTGAAGGAATTTGGAAGGAGTTTCGTTCCCAGAGTGGGAATTTGGAAGGAATTCCATTGCCAGAATGGGAATTTGTAAGGAATTTAGAAGGGTTTTCAATCCCAGAGAGGGAATTTGAAGGAATTTGGAAGGAGTTCCATTCCCAGAGTGGGAATCTGAAGGAATTGGAAGGAATTTCATTCCCAGAGTGGGGATCTGAAGGAATTCCAACCCCAGAGTGGGAATCTGAAGGAATTCCAATCCCAGAGTGGGAATCTGAAGGAATTCCATTCCCAGAGTGGGGATCTGAAGGAATCAGAAGGAATTCCAGCCCCAGAGTGGGAATCTGAAGGAATTAGAAGGAATTCCAAGCCCAGAGTGGGGATTTGAAGGAATCTGAAGGAATTCCAGCCCCAGAGTGGGAATCAGAAGGAATTGGAAGGAATTCCAGCCCCAGAGTGGGGATTTGAAGGAATTCCAGCCCCAGAGTGGGGATCTGAAGGAATTTGAAGGAATTCCACCCCCAGAGTGGGGATCTGAAGGAGTTCCATCCCCAGAGTGGGGATCAGAAGGAATCTGAAGGAATTCCAGCCCCAGCGTGGGAATCTGAAGGAATTCCATTCCCAGGGTGGGGATCTGAAGGAATTCCACCCCCAGAGTGGGGATCTGAAGGAATTCCAATCCCAAAGTGGGAATCTGAAGGAATTCCAATCCCAGAGTGGGAATCTGAAGGAATTCCAAGCCCAGAGTGGGGATTTTAAGGAATCTGAAGGAATTCCACCCCCAGAGTGGGTTTCCAGCCCCAGAGTGGGAATCAGAAGGAGTTCCACCCCCAGAGTGGGGATCAGAAGGAATTCCATTCCCAGAGTGGGGATCTGAAGGAATCAGAAGGAATTCCACCCCCAGAGTGGGGATTGGAAGGAACCAGAAGGAATTCCATAATTCCACCCCCAGCGTGGGGTCCCCTCCCCAGGCCTCACCTCTGGCAGGGTCCCCCAGGCTGCAGCTGCTGCTGCTGTTGACGCGCAGCCCGCGCTCGCACACCCGCTGGGCCTGCGAGGGAACAGGAAAATCCCCTTTTCCACCAGGATCTACTTCCAGGAAACGAGAGACATTCCCAGGAAATCAGTTACTGGCTGATAAAGGGTGTCACTATTCCCAGGAAATCAGAAATATTCCTTTGAAATCAGAAAGTCCAAGTAATTCTAAATTATTCTTAATAATTCCACTGGCAGCAAGGAAAATTCCTTTTTCTCCCATCAGATCCATCCCCAAACCCCCTCAGGAGCCAAAGAATCCCAAAGAAACCCAAATCAGTCCAAATAGTTCCTAATAATTCCAATAAGAATTCCCATAAGAATTCCCGTAAGAATTCCCATAAGAATTCCAAATAATTCCAAAAATCCCAAATATACCCAAAGAATCCCAGACGCACCAAGAAAAATTCCTTTTTCTCCAACCAGATCCATCCCTAAAACCCCCCAGGAGCCAAAGAATCCCAAAGAAACCCAAATAATTCCAAATAATCTCAATAAGAATTCCAAATAATCCCAAAAATCCCAAATATCCCCAATGAATCCCAGAGGCACCAAGGAAAATTCCTTTTTCTCCAACCAGATCTATTCCTAAAACCCCTGAGGAGCCAAATAAATAATCCCAAATAATTGCAAATAATCCCAAATAATTCCAAATACTTCCAAAGAATCCCATATAATCCTAAATAATCCCAGAGGCACCGAGGCAAATCCCCTTTTTCCCCCTGAGAGCCACCCCAAACACCCCAGGAGCCAAAGAAATAATCCCAAATAACTGTAAATAATCCCAAAGAATTCCAAATAATCCCAAATAATCCTAGAGAATCCCAGAGGCACCAAGGCAAATCCCCTTTTCCCCCCTCAGAGCCACCCCACACCCCCCAGGAGCCAAATAAATAATCCCAAATAACTGTAAATAATCCCAAATAATCCCAATGAATCCCAGAGGCAGCAAGGCAAATCCCCTTTTCCCCCTGAGAGCCACCCCAAACCCCTCCAGGAGCCAAATAAATAATCCCAAAGAAACCCAAATAATTCCAAATAATTTCTAATAATTCCAATAAGAATTCCCATAAGAATTTCAATAAGAATTTCAATAAGAATTCCAAAAATCCCCAAAGAATCCCAGAGGAACCAAGAAAAATTCCCTTTTCCCCCCTCAGAGCCACCCCAAACCCTTGAGGAGCCAAATAAATAATCCCAAATAACTGTAAATAATCCCAAAGAATCCCAAATATTTCCAAATAATCCCAAATAATCCTACCTACAGCAAGGCAAATCCCCTTTCCCCCCTGAGAGCCACCCCACACCCCCAGGAGCCAAATAAATAATCCCAAATAACTGTAAATAATCCCAAATAAGCCCAACAAATCCCAGAGGCACCAAGGCAAATCCCCTTTTCCCCCTGAGAGCCACCCCAAACCCCAGGAGCCAAATAAATAGTCCCAAATAATTCTAAATAATCCCAAATAATCCCAAAGAATCCCAAAGAATCCCAAAGAATCCCAGAGGCAGCAAGACAAATCCCCTTTTCCCCCATCAGAGCCACCCCACACCTCCAGGAGCCAAATAAATAATCCCAAATAATCCCAAATAATCCTAAATAATCCCACCTGCACCAAGGCAAATCCCCTTTTCCCCCAAGAGCCACCCCACACCCTTGAGGAGCCAAATAAATAATCACAAATAACTGTAAATAATCCCCAATAATTCTAAATATTTCCAAAGAATTCCAAATAATCCCAAATAATCCCAAATAATCCCAGAGGCAGCAAGGCAAATCCCCTCTGCCCCCAAGACCCACCCCACCCCCGGAGCTGCTCCCGAGCCTTTCCCAGCGGGATCCCCGGGCAGATCCCAGGCTGTGAGGGGACACGGGCAGGGCGTGACCCCAAACCCCCGGAGCTGCTCCCGAGCCTTTCCCAGCGGGATCCCCGGGCACCAGAGGCACCAAGACAAATTCCCTTTTCCCCCCTGAGAGCCACCCCACACCCCCAGGAGCCAAATAAATAATCCCAAATAACTGTAAATAATCCCAAATACTTCCAAAGAATTCCAAAGAATCCCAGAGGAACCAAGGAAAATCCTCTTTTCCCCCATCAGATCTATTCCTAGGGTGTGAGGGGACACGGGCAGGGCGTGACCCCACACCCCACAGCAACCCCACTGCTGTCACCTCCTCCTCCTGCTCGAAGGGCAGGAAGGCGAAGCTCTCCTGCAGCTCCTCCTGGCTGTACCCTGCAGCGGCCTTGGCGCGGGCAAACGCCTGCAGCTGCAAAATAAATCCCAATGTTTTGGTCTCAGGTGGTGCTGATCCCAGAAAAAAATTATTTTTCCCAATTTTTTTTTTAAGGATTAGGGGGAAAATGGAATGTGGTGCAGCGCAGCTGGGAAAACAGCTGGATGTGGTTTCATTGCTGAGACTTAAAATGAAAAAAAATAATGAGGTGTGAGGGAAATGAAATAGAATAGTGACAGGAAAAATGAGCAGTGGGAATGGGGTGAGGGGATTTGGGAATGGGAGTGAAAGGATTGGGAAAGTGGGAATTTGGGGTTTGAGAAAGGGGGAATGAAGGGATTGGAAAAGTGGGAATGAAGGGATTTGGAAAGTGGGAATGTGGGATTTGGAAAGTGGGATTGTGGGGGTTTGAAAAGTGGGAATGAAGGGATTTGAAAAGTGGGAATGTGGGATTTGGAAAGTGGGATTGTGGGATTTGAGAAAGGGGGAATGGGATGAAGGGATTTGGGAATGGGAATGAAGGGATTGGAAAAGTGGGAATGTGGGATTTGGAAAGTGGGAATGTGGGGTTTGAGAAAGGGGGAATGGGATGAAGGGATTTGGGAATGGGAATGAAGGGATTGGAAAAGTGGGAATGTGGGATTTGGAAAGTGGGAATGTGGGATTTGGAAAGTGGGATTTGAAAAGTGGGAATGGGATAAAGGGATTTGGAAAGTGGGAATGTGGGATTTGAAAAGTGGGAATGTGGGGTTTGAAAAGGGGGAATGTGGGGTTTGAAAAGTGGGAATGAAGGATTTAAAACTGGGAATGGGATGAAGGGATTTGGAAATGGGAATGAAGGGATTTGAAAAGTGGGAATGTGGGGTTTGAAAAAGTGGGAATGAAGGGATTGGAAAAGTGGGAATGGGATGAAGAGATTTGAAAATGGGAACGTGGGATTTGGAAAGTGGGAATAGGATAAAGGGATTTGGGAAGTGGGACTTGGAAAGTGGGAATATGGGATTTGAAAAAGTGGGAGTGAAGGGATTTGAAAAGTGGGAATGGGATGAAGAGATTTGAAAATGGGAACGTGGGATTTGGAAAGTGGGAATAGGATAAAGGGATTTGGGAAGTGGGACTTGGAAAGTGGGAATATGGGATTTGAAAAAGTGGGAGTGAAGGGATTTGAAAAGTGGGAATGGGATAAAGGGATTTGGAAATGGGAATGAAAGCATTGGAAAAGGGGGAATGAAGGGATTTGAAAATGGGAATGTGGGATTTGGAAAGTGGGAATGTGGGATTTGAAAAAGTGGGAATGCAGGGATTTGAAAAGTGGGAATGGGATGAAGAGATTTGAAAATGGGAACGTGGGATTTGGAAAGTGGGAATGGGATGAAGGGATTTGGAAATGGGAGTGAAAGGACTGGAAAAGGGGGAATGTGGGGATTTGAAAAGTGAGACTGGGCTGAAGAGATTTGAAAATGGGAACGTGGGATTTGGAAAGTGGGAATGGGATGAAGGGATTTGGAAATGGGAGTGAAAGGACTGGAAAAGGGGGAATGTGGGGATTTGAAAAGTGAGACTGGGCTGAAGAGATTTGAAAATGGGAACGTGGGATTTGGAAAGTGGGAATGGGATGAAGGGATTTGGAAATGGGAGTGAAAGGACTGGAAAAGGGGGAATGTGGGGATCTGAAAAAGTGGGAAATAAGGGACTGGAAAAATGGGAAATAAGGGATTTGAAAAGTGGGAATGTGGGGATTTGAAAAGTGGGAATGGGATGAAGAGATTTGAAAATGGGAATGTGGGATTTGGAAAGTGGGAATGGGAATGATGGGATTTGAAAAGTGGGAATGTGGGATTTGGAAAGTGGGAATGGGATGAAGGGATTTGGAAATGGGAGTGAAAGGACTGGAAAAGGGGGCATGTGGGGATCTGAAAAAGTGGGAAATAAGAGACTGGAAAAATGGGAAATAAGGGATTTGAAAAGTGGGAATGTGGGGATTTGAAAAGTGAGACTGGGCTGAAGAGATTTGAAAATGGGAATGTGGGATTTGGAAAGTGGGAATGGGAATGATATGGGAATGTGGGATTTGGAAAGTGGGAATGCAGGGATTTTGAAAAGGGGAATGCGAGGACACAGGGATTTGAAAAGTGGGAATGAAGGGATTTTAAAAATGGGAATGAAGGGATTTTGAAGTGGGAATAAAAGGATTTTGAAAGTAGGAATGTGGGGATTTTAGAAGTGGGAATTAAGACTCTTAAAAAGTGGGAATGAGATAAAGGGATTTGAAAATGGGAATGTGGGATTTGGAAAGTGGGAATGCAGGGATTTTGAAAAGGGGAATGCGAGGACACAGGGATTTGAAAAGTGGGAATGAAGGGATTTTAAAAATGGGAATGAAGGGATTTTGAAGTGGGAATAAAAGGATTTTGAAAGTAGGAATGTGGGGATTTTAGAAGTGGGAATTAAGACTCTTAAAAAGTGGGAATTAAGAATTTTAATAGTGGGAATCTGGGGATGAAGGGATTTTGGAAATGGGAATGACAGGATTTGAAAAGCAGGAATGGGGTGAAGGGATTTTGAAAGTGAGAATGTGGGGATGGAGGGCTTTGAAAAGTGGGAATGTGGAGATCTGAAAAGTGGGAATGTGGAGATCTGAAAAGCGGGAATGTGAGGACTTCAAAAGTGGGAATGAAGGGATTTTTAAAAGTGGGAATGAAGGGATTTAAAACTGGGAATGAAGGGATTTTTAAAGTGGGAATGTGGGATTTGGAAAGTGGGAATGGGATGAAGGGATTTGGAAATGGGAATGAAAGGATTGGAAAAGTGGGAATGTGGGGGTTTGAAAAAGTGGGAATGTGGGATTTGAAAACTGGGAATGGGATGAAGGGATTTGGAAATGGGAATGTGGGATTTGAAAAGTGGGAATGCAGGGATTTTAAAAATGGGAATGAAGGGATTTTGAAAGTGGGAATAAAAGGATTTTGAAAGTGGGAATTAAGACTCTTAAAAAGTGGGAATTAAGAATTTTAAAAGTGGGAATCTGGGGATGAAGGGATTTTGGAAATGGGAATGACAGGATTTGAAAAGCAGGAATGGGGTGAAGGGATTTTGAAAGTGAGAATGTGGGGATGGAGGGCTTTGAAAAGTGGGAATGTGGAGATCTGAAAAGTGGGAATGTGGAGATCTGAAAAGCGGGAATGTGAGGACTTCAAAAGTGGGAATGAAGGGATTTTTAAAAGTGGGAATGAAGGGATTTTTTAAAGTTCAGATAGCTGGAAAAAATAAAGTTAAAAAGAAAAGAAAAGTGGAGACAGAGACATCCCAAAAATCTGCCTTGAGTCACTCAACAGAAAGCAACCCATGGACGGGAATTCTCCCAATTCCAAAGGAATTCTGGAATTCCCGAGGCTCTGGGAATCCTGAGCACCACTGGCTGCATGGATTGTGGGCATGGAAGTGCAAGGAAGGGAAAAAACGTTGGGAATTTCAAGAGGGAGATGAAACAGAGCTGGCATTCCCAGCATTCCCAGAGGTGTGCAGCTCCCAGAAAATCCCGTTTTTCCTGGGATTCCTTACCTCGCTCAGGAAAAACTCATTTTCCACCAGGATGGCCCTGCTGTACTGGAAACGCTGCTGGGAGCTGGAGTGCAGCGAGGAGCTCTGCAGCACGGCCACGGCCCGCTGCAGCAGGGAGCTCTGCTCCTCGGGATCCTGGGAAAACCCTGGAAAACAGGGAATATCCCGGTCAGGAATGGCTGCAGCAGGGAGCTCTGCTCCTCGGGATCCTGGGAAAACCCTGGAAAACAAACAGGGATATTCCAGTCAGGAATTTCCAGATTGACTCCTCAGGATTCAGGGAAAACCCTGGAAAACAGGGAATATTCCAGTCAGGAATTGCCAGATTGGCTCCTCGGGATCCTGGGAAATTCCTGGAAAAACAGGGAATATTCCAGTCAGGAATGGCTGCAGCAGGGAGCTCTGCTCCTCGGGATCCTGGGAAAACCCTGGAAAAATAGGGATATTCCAGTCAGGAATTGCTACATTGGCTCCTCGGGATCCGGGGAAAACCCTGGGGGAATAAAAAAGGAAATATTCCAGGTGGGAATTGCCAGATCAGTGTGGGAATTCAGGATGGAAAAGGGGAAATATTCCAGGCGGGAATTTTTGGGTCTTTTGTGCCTTTTTATTTTTACACTGCCTGCTTTTAGGTGCTGCCTCTGGAATTGCTGGAATTAGGGGGAAAAAGCAGAAAAATGGGAAATAGAGGGATTTTCCAGGTTTTTTTCCAGCAGCAGTCTTTGGGCTGAATGAGAAAAGTTCATTTTGCTCATTTTTCTTGCACTTTTCTTCCTGTGTTTCCTGCATCCTTAAGGAAGCATCCAGAAAATTTAAAATTTAAATTCAATTTAAAATTTCAAAATTTAAATTAAATTTTAAATTTCATGGAATGTTAAACCCCAGTTCAGCTCAAAAGATCCAACACAACCTTTTTCTTTTTTTTTTTTTAATTTCTTTTTGCTGGAGCACCACAACTTTTTCTGGAAAACATCAGATATTTTCAGGGATAAAAGTTTAAAAAAAAAGTATGGAAAAGTCTTGGGAATAAAACAAAAAATCCAGAAATTTTGCAATACTTTTTTCTAAATGCAGCTCCAAAATGAAAATCCACAAAGGGGGAAAAATAATTTTTTAATTAATTAATTAATTAATTAACGAGAGGAAACGGAGCCCCAGTGGCTGCACCCCTCAATTCCCTCCTGGATTTTGGGAAGGTGTATCCCAACCCTACGGGAAAAAATTCCCAGGAAAAAAAAAAATCCCAAATCCCGGCAAATCCCAGGGCAGGAGCAGAAGGTGAAAGTGAAAGTGGCCACGGCAGAAGGGAAAGTGAAAGTGAGAAACTCGGGAATGGCACCGGGAAACTCGGGAATGGGAACTTGGGAATGGGAACTCGGGAATGGAAACTCGGGAATGGCACCGGGAAACTCGGGAATGGGAAACTCGGGAATGGAAACTCGGGAATGGGAACTTGGGAATGGAAACTCGGGAATGGGAACTTGGGAATGGAAACTCGGGAATGGGAAACTCGGGAATGGGAACTTGGGAATGGGAAACTCGGGAATGGCACTGGATCCATGGGGTGAAAGTTGGGAATGGGAAACTTGGGAATGGCACCGGATCCATGGGAATGGGAACTTGGGAATGGGAAACTTGGGAATGGGAAACTCGGGAATGACACCGGATCCATGGGAAACTCTGGGAATGGGAAACTTGGGAATGGGAAACTTGGGAATGACACCGGATCCATGGGAAAAAACTTGGGAATGGGAAACTCGGGAATGGCACTGGATCCATGGGGTGAAAGTTGGGAATTGTGCTGGATCCATGGGGAAAAGCCAGGAGAAAGAAAAGGAAAAACTTGGGAAGAAGGAGAAGGAAAGAAGGAGAAACTTGGGATTGGCACTCTGGGAAATTGAGAAACTTGGGAATGGCACCGGATCCACTGGGAAAAATTCAGGAAACAAGAAACTTGGGAATGGCACTGAGGGAAGGAGAAACTTGGGAATGGCACTGGATCCATGGGGCAAACTCTGGGAAGGAGAAACTTGGGAATGGCACCGGATCCACTGGGAAACTCTGGGAAGGAGAAACTTGGGAATGGCACTGGATCCATGGGGCAAACTCCAGGAATGGGATCAGCCAATGGCACAGGGCTGGGAGATCCAGAGGGGATGGATGATCCCTGTCCCGAAATCCTCGGGAATTCCCAGCTGGCCCTGGGGAATTCCCACCCTTTGAGCCGGGCACTCCTGCAGCTCCCAACATCAGCCCGATGGAATTCCTTGGAATTCTCTGGATCTGCTGCTCCCTCTCCTGGGCAATCCAGAGGGGATGGATGATCCCTGTCCCGAAATCCTCGGGAATTCCAGCTGGCCCTGGGGAATTCCCACCCTTTGAGCCGGGCACTCCTGCAGCTCCCGACATCAGCCCGATGGAATTCCTTGGAATTCTGTGGATCTGCTGCTCCCTCTCCTGGGCAGGATGGGCGGAGCCAGGGAATCCTTGGGATGGGGAAAGATTTTTGGGATGGAACCCAACCATTCCCAGCACTGCCATCCCCAAGTGCCACATCCACAGGGATTGAAATCCCAACAGGAATGGGGACTCCACCCTGCCCTGACACCTTTTCCATGGGGAAATATTCCCTAAAATCCAATCCAAACCTCCCCTAAAATCCAACCCAAAGCTCCCCTGGCACAGCTGAGGCCGTGGACTCCCAAAATGCAGGATTTTCCTGTGGCTCATCCCGTTTTCTGGGATCTCTGGATGGCCTCAGCACTCAGCAACTTCCAAGGGAGTTTTCCCAGCCCAGGAGTGCAGAATTCCCCTTTTTTAAACATTTTTAACCTTAACATTTCAGCAGCATTCACTGCAGGCATTTGGATGCTGCCAAACCCGCAAAATTCCACGATCCAGCAATTTTCCTGGCTTGATCCCAAGGCTGGGATGAGCTGGAATATTTGGAATCACCAGCAGGATCAGGTCTGGCACCACCACATCCCACCGTGGATTTACACCAAAACTTGGGATCAATCCAGGAGCTTTTCATCCTGCCACAACTCTCCCAAAAACCAGTTTGTGTTCTTCCAGAGATTCCTTGGGATCACCTTTCCCAAATTATTTTGGAGTTTAATTCCAATTTCATCCCAATTTCCTTCTTTCCCTGTGGGAAATCTCCCAAAAAAACCAGAGTCTCCCCCTGGCTGATCCAGAGATTTTTTTTCCTTTTCCAGCTGAGATCCAGGGATTTTCCTTCTCCAGCTGATCCCACTGCTGGGAGCTGTTTGCTGAGTGCACTGGGAACAACAGGAATTTCAGGAAAAACTGGATATTAGGGAAAATTTCCCCCCAGAAAAGCACGGGAAGGAGGTTGCCCAGGGCACAGGAGGGATTTAAAAGCTGGAAGTGACGCCTGGGGACACCGGTGGTGGCCTTGGCAGCTTGGGAATGGCTGGGTTGGATCTCTGAGGGCTTTTCCAACTCTGGAATTCCACTTTCCCAGCTTTTCCCCACCCCAGGGAATGATTTTAACCCTGGATGTGCTGGTGGCTGAAGCAGCCACGGGATGAAGGATCTGACCTCACCCCAGGAGGGATTTCCCACGTTTTTCCAGGCAGATTTTGGGAATGGGATGAGAACAAAACCTCTGGGACAAACCGGCCTGATGTTCCCCTGAGTTTCCTGGAGATCCTGCCCCAGGATGCTGCAGATGAGGAATAAAAACCACCCACAAACGCAAGGATTCCACCTTTTCCTCAGGAAATGGAGTTTCCATGGGTTTTCAGGATGCAGCTCCACGTTCCTAAATTAATCCTCCTTGGCCCTAGACTCAGGAATTACATCCTGGCTTGGGGTGGGATCATTCCTTTTGCTGTTTTGAACTCGGTGAGCCAAGCTGGTTGTTCCTAAGCAAACCCAGCTGCTGGACTGCATTCCCAATTTTTTTTTCCCATTTATTTTTTTTTTTCCCAATCACCCAGGGCTGATTCCAGCTGGGAATTCCACGCTCTGGAGCAGCTCAGCATTCCCTGATCCCATTTTTGATCCTGTTTTTGGCCTCCAGCCATTCCAGGGGAGGTTTGGATTGGATTTTAGGGAACATTTCCCCATGGAAAAGGATGTGGAGGCTGCAGGATGTTTTCAGGGCCTGACAGGATTTATTTGGATGGGGTTTAGGTGCTGCAGGGAATTCCTGGCATCTTTTCAGGGCACTCTACAACCTCCAGAGAGAGCTGCATCAAGTTCTGATCTGATCCCACAGCAAATTCCAAATCCCATTGGATGGGCAGGGAATTTTAGCAGTTTCCTCGTGGGAAGGGAAAGGGATGTTCCTGCATCATGTTTAAAAAAAAAAATAAAAATAAAAAACCCTCTTTGTGTCATCAGAAATTGCAGCAGATCCGGGTGCTTCCAAATTCCCAGCCGGAATTCTGTTCCTTCTGTTCTTTTGTTTGGCTCCAACAAAAGAATTCCAAAGGAAATGTTTCATCCAGGAGGGAAAAGCTGGAAAAAGCCCCAGCCTGGTGGAGAAATGATGGAGCCTCTCTTGCTGCAGCAGCAGATGGAAAAATTAAAGGGAAAAAAACCCAAAAAACCCTCCTTGGGAGGTTCAGGCTGGATGAGAAGTTGCAATTTTCCCTCTGGAAAAGGACAGGTCCCCATTCCTGGCTGGACAAAGCCACATCCACCCCACTGTGATAAAAAACTCCTCAGGGCAGGAATCCTCCAGCTAAAATCCTTCCAAGAGCAACTTCTCGGATTTTACAGCCTCCCTCCTGCTCCTTTCAGCTGCTGGCGGAATTCAAAAGGTGGTTTTTACACATTTTACACACTAATTGATAAAAATCAGGAGTTTTTATCCCCAAACTCCAATTCTGTCACCACACCCAGGGCTGTGGCTTCACTCAGGTGACACCTGACTCTCCCCAAGTCACCAGCACAGGAATTTTGGCACTTGGACAACAAAAAAGGAACATTTTCTTTACAAAATCAGCCAGTTCAGATTTTATTGCAGCAGCAGATGGAAAAATTAAAGGGAAAAAACCCAAAAAACCCTCCTTGGGAGGTTCAGGCTGGATGAGAAGTTGCAATTTTCCCTCTGGAAAAGGACAGGCCCCCATTCCTGGCTGGACAAAGCCACATCCACCCCACTGTGATAAAAAACTCCTCAGGGCAGGAATCCTCCAGCTAAAATCCTTCCAAGAGCAATTTCTCGGATTTTACAGCCTCCCTCCTGCTCCTTTCAGCTGCTGGCGGAATTCAAAAGGTGGTTTTTACACATTGATTGATAAAAATCAGGAGTTTTTATCCCCAAACTCCAATTTTGTCACCACACCCAGGGCTGTGGCTTCACTCAGGTGACACCTGACTCTCCCCAAGTCACCAGCACAGGAATTTTGGCACTTGGACAACAAAAAAGGAGCATTTTCTTTACAAAATCAGCCAGCTCAGATTTTCCACAGAGCTGAGGGAGCAGCAGCATTAGGAACAACCTCCACAAGGCAGAGAAATTCCCTTTGGGAAAAGGGAAAAAATCAAAACAAATCCCTCCAACCAAACTCCCTGTGGATCCTCTGGCTGGGGAAATCACACCCTGAAAATTCCCAGTAACAACAACCAAAGCCAAGCACTCCAATCCAAAGATACCCTCAGAATTACGGGGGTCTCGCCATCCAAAAAATATTCCAGATTTGGGAAAAAATGAATTTATCCCCTCAAAAAATCAACATTTCACTTTCTGGTCTCAAAGGGGTTCTAAGCAAGAGCAAGGAATTGGTGACTTTGGGGAAGAAAATGCCAAGGTGGGATTTCAAGGAATACTGAGGGTGAAGATCTGGGAGTGGGGAATATTCAAGCTGGCTCTGGTGTTGCCAAAAACGGCAGGTTTGAGAGGAACACGAAAAAGAAATAAAGGAAATTATGCATAAAACCAATTTCAGAGCTACCTCACAGCCTGTGGTGCAAGGCAATGAATTGTAATTAATCACAATCCCTACCAGAGGAGATAAGAGTTTCTGAAATGCTCTGATAATGATTTCTTGGCTGGAAAACAATTTCTGTGAAATCAGACACTTCAGTTACAGCAGAACTTATAGAAAAAAATTCCTTCTGGAGCAGAGCAGTGATTTCCAGCCCTGTGTTTTATAAAAACCAAAATGAGCTTGGAGCTGCAATAAGAAATATCCATTTCATCAAAGAATTGGGGCAAATCCATTAATTTGATGTTCTGACTTGAGCAGCCCAAAAAAAAGCAGAGCACCTCCTGCACCATTCTGGATCATTCTGGATCATCACAGAACACACGTTTTTTGTGAAAAAAAATTTGGTTTCCATGGAGCAAGGACTACGATTTACAATTCCTTTAGTGCCATCCAACCTCCTGCTTTTTGCATCTATCCCAGATTATCCTCCCTTCAGCAGTGCAGACCTGGCGCTGGCCAAGCTCTGCTGCAATCCAAACCTCCGTGGGATAATTTCAGGACAATCTGGGATTAGAATTGTGCAAAACCAGAGCACAAACGTATTTTTCTCCCCTTATAAGGCCAAATTTCAGCCCTGCAGCCCCTCCAGGAGAGGACCAGCACCCACCCACGCTGGCTTTATTCCCAAACCCCACTCCTGAAGGGCACCCACATCGCCACACGTGCGCCCAAAGAAGCACCGCGATTCATCCCAGCTGCTCAGGCCTTGGGATCAACCACTTGGAAAAGCCAACGTGTCGCTGGTGAGGCAGAAAATCTCAAAACCATCTGGTTCCTACGTGTCCGAGGCTCGCAGCAGCACCGGGGACGGGAGAGGGGCAAGGGCGGCGTGGCCGCTCCCCGGCTCCCCGGGGAAGGACGGCATGGAGCCGGGAACCCGCTCGTACCCAGGGCAGGGCGGCAGGGAGCCGGTAAATCGTCTTTTCCCCGGGGAAAAATGCCATGGAGCGGTAACCCTTTGCTTCCCAGAGAAGGGCGGGATGGAGCCTGTAATTCCCCCCACACAGACACACGCATTTCTCCCAGGGCAGGGCGGGATGGAGCCGGGAATCCTCTCCTTAAGGAAGGGCACGATGGAGCCGGGAACCCTTCTCTCTTTAAGGAAGGGCACGATGGAGCCGGGAACCCTTCTCTCTTTAAGGAAGGGCACGATGGAGCCGGTCGCCTTCTCCTCTCGAAAGGAAGAGCGGCATGGAGCCAGCAATTCCCCCCCCTCCTAGGGAAGAGCCGAACGAAGCCGCTCGCCTTCCCTTCTCCCAGGGAAGAGCGCTCTGGAGCCGGCCGCCTTTCCCTCCCTCACGGCGGAGCGGCATGGAGCCGGTAACCACCGCCCAAGCCGCAGAGAAGGGCGCGATGCAGCCGCCCGCCCTCACCCCCGGCCGCGCTTACCCGTGCCCGGCTCGCCGCTCTCCCCGCGCCGCCTCTCGCCCATGGCCGGGCTCGCTCGGAGCCGTCCCTCAGGCCGCCCTCATGGCCGCCCCGCCCGGCGCCCGGTGCGGCGCCGCTCCCGGGCCGGCGGCATGAGGCGGCGCGGGGCGGCCCCCGCCATCCGCCGGCCCCAGGAAGTGGAAGGACGGAGAGGGAGGAGAGAGAGGGAGGGAGAGAGGGAAGGAGGGGACGAGGGGCGGGAGCGGCGGGGAAAAAAACAGAAAGTGAAAACTGAACCGGAAAGACAGCGAGGGGCCGCCCGCGGGTTTTCCTCTTCCCGCGGTCACCGGCCCTTGGCTGGCCGTGGCCGGCTTTTCCTCTTCCGTCCCCCGGCGCTGCTCCCTCCTTGTCAGCTCCCGGCTCGGCCATGGATGTTTGCCGTTGGTGGGGTTTTCCCCCAGTCTTGCCTTGGTCTCCTCCTCCATCACCTCAGCCCCTCCATGCCTGACTCCAGCTCTTCTCGCTGCCCTTTCCCTCATCCCCTCACGTCATGGGGAGTGTGAAAAATGTGGATTTTACGATTGGCTTTTCGCAAGTATTAATATTGTATGTGTATGTTAGAAAGTTATGCTGTATTAATTTTCTTAAATATAGTTTTAGGTTATAACATAATGTTAAAATAAAAACTATGCTATGCAATATATTTGTTTAAGAAAGGACTCGCACCAGATAGGAGCCACAGGACACCTGAATCTTTCAGAGAAAGGGAATTTATTGCTCCCTTAGCAGCAGAAAACTAACTTCTTCCCACCTCGCTCAGACTGGAAGACGGCATAAGGATTAAGAGGAAGAAGTTGACAGTGACCAGACAGAATCCTGTGTTTGAATGGAATTTATGCATCATGTATGAGCTGTATGAATATGCAGCAGGCAATTGTTTTTAAGGGTTAATCCTCTGCTAACAGGTGTCCTTTTTCGGGCTTGTGTTGCCCTGAGAAAGGTATCCGGACATCCGAATCTCTTTGTTTTTATTGTCTCATATTGTCCTAATCTCAAATGTTCAAATTTTATTATTCTAATTATATTATTATTTTTATAACTATTTTATTACTATTAAACTTTTAAAAATTCAAAAACAAGTGATTGGCGTTTTTCACAGGGAGAGACCCTTTTCTCCTCCTCAGTCCTTCCCCATCAGTGTTTTCCCTCTTTTGGTCTTCCCTCAGTTTCCCCCGATTCCCCTCCGGACTAATTCAGTGTTTGTCCATCTCTTCCCACTGCCCCTTCCCTCATTCTTCTCCTGCTCTGAGCTCTCATCTCAAAGATGTGCCTTTGTGCCTTCCCCAGAGCTGTCTTTGGACCTTCCCTCAGTCCCCAAACTCCTTCCCTTGTCCCCTCACATCACGGCCACAGCTCCTTTTCTCACCTCAATCTTTCCCCCTCAGTATTTTCCCTTTGTGTTCCTTGTTTTGGGCCTTTCCTCAGTCCCAAAATTTCTTTCCTTAATCCCTCACACTTTGCATCAGGCCAGGGCCCCCTCCCTCCCCCCAGTCCTTCTCCCTCAGGATTTTATCTCAATCCCCTTCCTGATCCCCTCAGCCCCTCCATACCTGACCTCAGCTCTTCCCTCAACAACAAACTCTCTCCTTGCTGGGCTGATTCTGCATGGTGCAGAAAAATTGAATTATTTTTCTTTTTTTTTTTTTTTCTGCTTAGACATCCATTTCCATATGTGTGTGTGTGTGTGTGGCCTGCAGGCACCCCGTGAGGGACGTTGGGGGTATCCCAATCCATGGGGGACAAGGGGACATCGGGAACAGGGATGGGGTGAGGGTTGAAGGGAATCACTGAGGTGAGGGACACAATAATGGGGTGAGGAGATGAGGGAAGGGGATGGAATGGATAATGAAATATGGAGGGAAGGCCCTGAGGGGATCAGGGAAGGGGTTTTAGGGGGATTGAGGGAAGGCTCTGAGGGGCGAGAACTGAGGTGAAGGAAGGGGTTTAAGGAATGATGTGAAGGAATGAGGACAGATCCAAAACAAAGATCTGGGGAAGGTGCTGAAGTGAGTGATGGGCTCAGAGCAGAAGACTGAGGGAATGAGGGTGAATGACACAGAAACAGGGTGAGGAAAGGGGATGGAATGAATGAAGAAAGATGGGGAAGGCCCTGAGGGAAGGGGCTGAGGGAAGAGCCAAAATGAGGGGATGAGGGGATCAGGGAAGGGGTTTTAGGGGGATTGAGGGAAGGCTCTGAGGGGCAAGGACTGAGGTGAAGGAAGAGGTTTAAGGAATGATGTGAAGGAATGAGGACAGATCCAAAACAAAGATCTGGGGAAGGTGCTGAAGTGAGTGATGGGCTCAGAGCAGGAGAAGACTGAGGGAATGAGGGTGAGTGATACAGAAACAGGGTGAGGAGGTGAGGAAAGGGGATGGAATGGATGAAGAAAGATGGGGAAGGCCCTGAGGGAAGAGCCAAAATAAGGGGATCAGGGAAGGGGTTTTGCGGGGATTGAGGGAGGGCTCTGAGGGGTGAGGACTGAGGTGAAAGAAGATCCAAACTGAGGAAAAACCCTGGGCCAGAACAGATTAAAAATGATGGGCAAAGGCCCTGATGAAAGGGGCTGAGGGAAGAGCCAAAATGAAGGGCTGAGGAAAATCACTGGGCCAGAACAGATAAAAAATGATGGGGGAAGCCCCTGAAGGAAGAGCCAAAATGAGGGGCTGAGGAAAAACACTGAGGGGCAAGGACTGAGGTGAAAGAAGGGGTTTAAGGAATGTTGTGAGGGAATGAGGAAAGATCCAAACCAAAGATCTGGGGAAGGCACTGAGGTGAGGGAAGAAGATTGAGGGGATGAGGGTGAGTAACAGAGAAATGGGGAGAGGAGATGAGGGAAGGGGACAGAATGGATAAAGAAAAGAAATATGGGTGAAAGACCCTGAGGGATGGGGCTGAGGGGATCAGGAAAGGAATTTTAGGGGGATTGAGAGACAGCTCTGAAGGGGAAGGACTGAGGTGAAGGAAGGGGCTCAGGGAATGATGTGAGGGGTGAGGAAAACAAGGAACAAGAGGAAGGGGACTGAGGGAAGATCCAAAATGAGGGACTGAGGAAAAACCCTGGGCCAGAACAGATAGAAAATGATGGGAAGGTCCTGAGGGAAGAGTCAAAATGAGGGGCTGAGGAAAACCACTGGGCCAGAACAGATAGAAAGTGATGGTAAAAAGCTCTGAGGGAAGAGCCAAAATGAGGGGATCGGGGAAAGGGTTTTGGGGGGATTGAGGGAAGGCACTGAGGAGGAAGGACTGAGGTGAGGGAAGGGGTTTAAGGGGTGGTGTGAGGGGTGAGGAAAAGAAAGAATGAGAAGGGGCCTGAGGGAAGGTCCAAAATGAGAAACTGAGGAAAACCACTGGGCCAGAACAGATAGAAAATGATGGGGAAAGGCCCTGAGGGAAGAGCCAAAATGAGGGGATCAGGGAAGGGGTTTTGAGTGAAGGCATGAGGAGGAAGGACTGAGGTGAGGGAAGGGGTTTAAGCAATGATGTGAGGGAAAGAAGGAACAAGAAATTATAAACAAGGAATGAGAGGAAGGGGACTGAGGGAAGAGCCAAAATGAGGGGATCAGGGAAAGGGTTTTGAGTGAAGGCACTGAGGGGGAAGGACTGAGGTGAGGGAAGGGGTTTAAGGGGTGGTGTGAGGGAAAGAAGGAACGAGAAACAAGGAATTATAAACAAGGAATGAGAGGAAGGGGACTGAGGGAAGAGCCAAAATGAGGTGCTGAGGAAAAACCCTGGGCCAGAACAGACAGAAAATGATGGTAAAGGCTCTGAGGGAAGAGCCAAAATGAGGGGCTGAGAAAAAACAGTGGGCTAGAACAGATGAAAAGTGATGGTAAAAAGCTCTGAGGGGATCAAAGAAGGGGCTCATTAAAGTCCCTTCTGATGGTTCTGAGTTGCCTCACCCCAGTATTGAACCCTACATGGAACAAAAGAAGCCGAGGATCATTTTTAGGCTTCACTTGGCAGAAACACCAAAAACACATCCAACGGCAAATGTTGCAATGACTCAAGCAGGGAACGGGGAGATCTGGGCTTGCCCAAGCTCTTGCACAAGAGGATTTAGGAACACCCCGTCCTGACCGCTGGGGCAGAGGTTGTGTTTGGCTGAGCAAGGAGCCTTGGAGGGGATTCCACTTGGCGTTCCCTTTGGCAGCGAGATCCGTGGTGCTGAATCCATAATAAATTCATGGAGGGGCTGATTCCTGATCCTGGCTGAGCCCCGGCTCTGCTTCAGCTCTGCTGAGCTTTGCAGGAAAGATCGGCAAACAAATTAAAACGTAAGGAACAGCAATGGGCCAACTCATTTATGAGTCACTTATTAGCCAAATAAGTCAGGAATGTGCCCTTATGGGTATTTCACCCACCCTAAGAATTTGCTATGGCAGGAGCAGAGTGCAAAGTGCTGCTGCCCAGTGAAAAAAAATTAAATTGGGGGGAGAAAAAGTGATTTTTTGTTGGGGCAGGGCACCATTTACAGCAATTTTTATTTATTATTTAGCAGGTTTTATTTCTTTTTAGCAGTTTTTTTTTTATTTATTAGCATTGTTTATTATTTATCTGTCATTATTTATTATTATTATTTATTAATTTTTTTTTTCATAGCATTTATCACAGCAAATTTGTCAGATCCGTGGGTTTTTCTACCTCCTTCTGGCAGATAAAAACCTGGAATTCTTGCTGAGACAGAAATATGGTCCTGGTTGCCCTTAAAGGGGGAAAAATCCACAACCTTGTCCTACGAGGTGTGAGGAGGTCTCTGATTTTGGGGCATCTCGAGAGCAGATCTGCAGGCAGAACACCCAAGCTCCCACCTCCATTGGGATCATCCAGTGAAATCCGAGTATTTTAGTGCTGGGAGATAATTCTGGTGAGGAAATGCAGAATTTCATGTGACAGCTCCTTTTTCAGTGCTGAGGAAAGCAAAGAATTCAAAGGAATTTCAGCAGCACCTCTGCTGCTTTGGACTGGATCACCCTAAGAATCTTTTCCAAACTTAATTATTTTGTTGATTTTGCTGAGGAGAGGAAGTGGAGCCCATTTTTGGGTGGAGTTTCTCTGTCCCCTTTCGGTGCCTCATGACTTTTGGGGTGGTGACAAGCCAAGCCCATGATGTCACCGTGGTGGGTTCCTGGCAAGGCTTTCTTCTGATTTCTTTGAAACCTTGACTCACTAGGTCCTGGCGCACTTAAATGTGAATTTCAAGAAGTCATTTGCAGTTTTATTTCCCTCTTTTATTAAAAAAAAAATGGAATTATTCCGTCGGTCTCTCCGTGAAGGAAAACAGTTGCAATGGAATGACTCAAATGAGGGGGGAGCAGCAGTTCCTGGTGACGTGAGGGTAAAATAAATCAATTTATTAATTATTGACTGTGTGGAGCAGTGCCAGGAGCCCAGGGTGAGAGCACAACCTGCAAACACCAGAGGGATCCTTCTCCTGCCCGGGGTTAATCCCAGAAATTCATGGAAAAAGCTGAATTTCTCTGCTTTTCCCTCATTTATTATCACAGAAATGCTGATTTTTCTCCCATTTCCTCATGGTTTGGGTGGGAAGGGACCTTCCTGATGACATCAGGGTAAAATAAATCAATTTATTAATTACTGACTGTGTGGAGCAGTGCCACAACCTGCAAACACCAGAGGGATCCTTCTCCTGCCCTGGGTTAATCCCAGAAATTCATGGAAAAAGCTGAATTTCTCTGCTTTTCCCTAATTTATTATAATGGAAATGCTGATTTTTCTCCCATTTCCTCACGCTCATGGAGTGGTTTGGATGGGAAGGACCTTCCTGGTGACATCAGGGTAAAATAAATCAATTTATTAATTACTGACTGTGTGGAGCAGTGCCACAACCTGCAAACACCAGGTTGTGTTCTCCTGCCCGGGGTTAATCCCAGAAATTCATGGAAAAAGCTGAATTTCTCTGCTTTTCTCTAATTTATTATCACATTTTTCTCCCATTTCCTCATGCTCATGGAATGGTTTGGGTGGGAAGGGAACCCAACTCATAAAAA